CTCTGGAAAATAGGCTCCGGAGGGAACACACCAGCCGCAGTGATTGGAGGGGGCTCGATTCCCATGGCCTGGTGAATGTAGGGAAGATCCACCTCTTCCAGGGATGTTACATAACCGACATTTGTCCCGTCATTTTCAGCATGTTTTCCTTTTTTCTGCTGTTGAGCAGCCGACCGGTAACGACCAGCGCGTCCTGCGATCTGTTTGATTTCAGGTACGGAAAGCCTCACAAGACCGCCTGGCACCCTCTTCACAAGAGTTTCGAAAATGATACGTTTGCAACTCCTGTAGAAAGATGGATTAGGATATATGGTAGAATGGTAGAACAACAGCAGACTTACAAATTTAGACCCATACCAATGGCATCACTAGCGACCAGATAATCGTATTCGTTATTTGGATCATTGAAAAGACTGGCTTGCTGAGTCCGAATTTCAGCTGGCAAGCTTCCATACACAATTGCCGCCCGCTTCCCAGTGACCTTTTCAATATCTGCTTTAAGTGCATGAATTCCGACACGAGAAAAGGCGACCAAGCAATCTCCCTTTTGCAAGCTCTTTAGGTCGCCCCTCAGGCTTCGGTCCATAACCTTTAGAGGGTTTAGTCGCTCATATCGGTGGATTTCGAGCTTATCTCCCGTAAGAGCTGCTAGCTCTCGTATCAGAGGTACAACCCTTGGCTCACCACAGAGATGAAGCTCCTTGGCACGTGCGCCAAGTACAGCACGAGTCCAGGCCCATCCGCGTTTGGAGTCCCCAATCATTTGAATTTCATCAATGACCCCTACATCATACGGTTGCCCTAGATTGACCATCTCAACTGTATTGCTAACAATAGTCGGGACTTGGCCCTCTGGGATTTTGACGTCATCGCCAGTGACCAAACTGCACGTGGTTCCGTTGGCCTGAAATCGATGGTATACCTCCTGCGCAAGTAGTCTTAGTGGCCCAGCATAGAAGCCGCTTTTACTAGCCTCGAGCTTTTTTAGTGCCTGATATGTTTTCCCCGAGTTCGTTGGCCCAACGTGCAGATGTATTGTCCGCTGTATAGATCGCGCTTGTGGATACCACTCTGCTGGAAAACGCATATCCGCCACTTTCTTCTGCTGTTCTAGGTTGGGCGTCGAGTATTTCGAAGTGACATCCTCAGCGTATAGGAGATACTCCAACTCATTCTTTAGACCTCGAACGCCAGATTGAATGTACGTCTTTTGTAGTGTGGTCTTCACTTGCCGTAGAGTACCGAAACTTCCACTAGTTGCTCGGTCCTCCAACTTGCATGCGTTCATCACATATCGCTCAAATCTCTGCCATCCATCCAACGCCGACTCAGAGCTCTGTGATAATTCCTTCTTGAGCTCCTTCAGCAGGTTCGCCACGATAATTGAGAAGTCGGGTGCGGTGACATTCTGCCTTGAATTCCTCGTAGCTGAACGGAGGGAAGGTCTAGCTGGAGACTACTCAGGAAGATAAACTATTAGTACACAAGTCATCAAAAAGGAGCCAACGGGAAAAATACTTTGTCAGGCTTCGTCTGTGTGGCCTCTTGTGCCTTCTTTGACTTTTGCAACCGTTTCGACCTCTGAAGCGCTGATGTGGTGGAAAATGTTCGTATCTCTGAACGAAAAAAGGGTCGTATAGCGCATGACAGGCAATGGCTGCCTCTACTCGCCCATGACTGCATTCCTTAAGCGAGTAGGCGGGTTCCAAATAGGTAGCGCGTTCGAAAGGCGCCAAGGACGATTCGCGAAGAAAGAATTAAGTTGTTGCAGATTTTGTAACGCGGAAAAGCTGCATATAATGGTGCATGGAGCTAGCAGGGGAACCTGCGACCAAACTCGTGCAATGCATCTAACGACAGACGACAGGTTGGGCTGAAAATTTTAAAATATCATTTTGAAAGAGTACCAATGACATCGGCAAATTGAGTGTATTCAACCAAATGAAGACTTATCTTCTAGTTTTAGTATGTAGCCACTGCCGCCTTAGTCATGATCGCGCCTTGGTCATAGTCCGGCACCGTTAGCACCCACTGTCACTGTTAAAGCAGCAGGGATAATATCCCGATAAGGGAAGGCCGAAAGCGTGCCGGCGCCACACCGCATGAATGCTGCCGATCCGCCGCAATCTATGATGGATTAAATGGTGGGGACACTTGGGAGAGGGTCTCTAGTAACAGTTACGTTTCATAAAGAGAGAACTCACTTCCATTCCCAACCCCTCCACCCCCTGATTGGACTCTCTTACCTGTCGCCTGATTCTCCTTATTGTTCTCCCCAAACCAGCCGCTCTTAGGCTGTAGTCTTATTGATCTCAAGTGCGCGACATCAAACTAACCTACAGCTAGAGGGCTGCCGGCCAGCCAAGATGAACTCCTCCATACTCAATATTCAACGCGAAAGTGAGTCTTTCCATATTTGATATATTCAACTAATCACTCATTTCTTGTACTAACTAAACTGTGTCGTATAGTTATTCTCAATACAATCCGGTATACGGCAGGGAATGAGGTGTGCCGAGACCCCTCCTCTTAGTAGACGCGGAACTAATGGTGGTGACGTGCAGTGGAAAGTCCTGGTTGTGGATGAGACCAGTCGGAAATTAATTGATAATGCTGTGAGCGAGGATGACATTCTCAATCTCAATGTTACCAGTAAGCCGAATATTCTGATCGATAACAGAATCGCATCGGCTAATGATCTTTCTTGCAAGATGTCGAGCAGATCGAGGAAAAGCGGAAATCCAACCCTATGGATGCGCTGTATATCCTATCGCCCCAGTCACATATCGTCGATTGCCTAATGGCCGACTTTGAGCGAAAGCGATACAAAAAGGCCTGGTTGGTTTGGACGTCATGTCGGTCACAACCCCTTTTCTACGCCCGCGAGTTGAGACCTAACCTCGCCTATAGATCTCGACCCCCAACAGCGCACTAGACTCGAACGATCTCAAATAGCCCAAGAACAAATTGCTAGCTTCCGCGTTATGAGTGCCGACTACTTTCCGAGGGAATCGCGTCTTGTCACGTTCCGAGATCCGTGGAGTTTTCCCGTGTTGTTTCACCCTGGTTGCAACCACTTGATTCGCGGCCATCTGGAAGGGCTGGCACAGAAGGTACGATACTTTTATTCATTATATATATTTTTTGATGTGGCGTCATCCGAGTCGACCACTGACCGGAACTCCAGATTGTATCTCTTTGTGCGAGCTTAGGAGAGTACCCCGTGATTCGATACTACAAGCCTAGAGCGCCAACCCACGAAGCTAGTGTTATGTGCTCGCACCTTGCCCGATTTATACAAAATGAGCTAGATCAGTTTGCCCACTTTCAAAAGGACTTCCCGCCCCCTTCCCAGAGACCTCGAGGCGTGCTTCTGGTGGTGGATCGCTCTATGGACATTGTTGCTCCACTTATCCACGAATTTACGTACCAATCTATGGTGCATGACTTGCTACCGATAAAAGATGGGGACAAGGTCACTTACAAAACAATTATAAACGAAGGTAGCCATAATGAAGAACTTAAGGAGATGGAGATCTCCGAGAATGATAACGTCTGGGTTGACTACAGACATCTTCATATGAAGGATGTGCTTGGAAAGTTGGGTGAAGACTTTGCCAAATTTCGGGCAGCCAACCCTCAATTCGCTGAAGAGTGAGTCCTCGCTGTTGTGAGATCCCGTAGCCGTGGATCTCCTTTGCTAATTTTCCCATAGAAATGACAAAGCCAACGTGAACACAATCAAAGACATGTTAGCTGGCCTCACAGAGTTCCAACAGGGTAGGGATGCATATACGCTCCATCTTAACATGGCGCAAGAATGCATGAAACACTTTCAGGAGCACAAGCTATTGGAGGTAAGCTCCGTTGAACAGTGCTTGTCGACCGGGCTGGACGAGAACTACAAAAAGGCGAAGAACTTGGCTTCACAGCTCGTTCAGCTACTTGATGATGATGCAGTGGACCATCAGGATAGACTTCGGCTTCTACTTCTCTACATCATGTACAGAGGTGGGATTCTTCCTGGAGATATCAGGAAGCTTATGGCGCACGCTCAACTTCCACCGCAAGATGGTGACGTTATCTCCAACCTGGATTTACTTGGTTCCAGAGTAGAGAAGCAGTTGAAAGATGAGAAGCCACCTGTCCAGCCGCTGTTCCACAGAAAGCCTCCATCGCCCGCAGAATCTGATGAAACTAGTTTGTCAAGATATGAACTGAACATGAAGTTGATGCTCGAGGAGTTGGTTCGAGGAACTTTGGACCCAGCGGTTTTTCCGCCCACTCGACCAAATACTGAGGCAGAGGGCATGGGAGGGCCCCAGGATACCCTCTCACAAGCCTCTCTGCGGAGCGCCAAACCGACTTGGGCTCGGACCCGTTCAGCCACAGAGCAGCCCCGACAACGCATCATTGTCTTCATGGCTGGTGGTGCAACTTATGGCGAAGCTCGTTCCTGCTATGAGGTCTCTCAAGCGTTTAACAAGGATGTTTTCCTTGCGACGTCACATATGCTGAGCCCTGGTTTGTTCCTGAAGCAGCTTGGGGATCTCAGTGCCGACAGAAGACGCCTAGACATCCCAGCCGAAAGGCCAAAGCCAACGGCACCGGCCCATTTGTTCGAAAGAGATCCTCCACCTCAGCCTCAACCAGTGCCTAAGAAGGCCCCAGCCCCGAAGCTCAACCCTCCGGCGCCTCCTTCGGCCGCTATGGGGGCCATGTCCCTGGGGTCCAATTCTCAGAATGGTGCAGCACCTGCACCTAGCAATGCAAAGCCACATAAGGAGAAGAAGGAAAAGAAGCATCACTTCTTCAGGCGATCATAGTGCCTTCAGTTTCTCTCAGAATTACTTCAAGGAGAATCATACTCCTTGACTACCGACGGCTATAGCCGTTTGAAGCCTATACCTATGTCTTTCTACTACAGCGTCTGTGATACCAATCTCTCGGGTTTTATTTGAGCACCGAAGGCGCCACGGCGCTAAATGGATATCTTCTTGTATCCTGTTCTGTCTTCTTTTTGATATAATCTTCTGTCCCTGTATGTAGTTAATGCATGTACCCTCTGAAGCATACTCTCCAGCGTTTAAATCCAGCACATCTATGTAAAGAAAAAGAGATAAATATAAAAGGGTATCTTTGAATCACGCCAAACGCTAAACCCGTCCTAACTGCTACTGCCTAAGATACTTCAAAACGTCATCACTTTGGAAAAACTGTTCCCGCAACTTCTCCCCCCTCTTCCTGGCATCCAAGTATCCCTTCCTTACCTCCTTTGCATTCAATTTCTGCACCTTAGCCGGCCTCTCAACCACCCGACTCTTACCCTTACCACCCTCCTTCGCCTCATCATCACCCTCAGCCCCCAAACCAACAGTATCAACCTTCAAGCGCCCCTTCAACGGCTCCCGAATCCCCTCTCGCCCAGAAACCCCCAATCCCAACCGGCTATCTGGATCCCACCCATAAGCAGCCAAATACCTCAACCCCTGCCTCGTCCGATCCAAATGCGACGGCGGATGCGAATGCGATAGGCACACCTGATGCGCCAGCGACGCCTCATGCGGCCGGTCACCCGCCATCACAGCCCCATGTGCCGACTCATCCCCGTCAATCGGAAGATTACATACGTCGCAGCGAGGAGCGGCAGAAGGCGAAGCCGGGGCCGACTGCACCTCCGCATCACAGTTTCCCACGTCCCCAGACACACGCCCAACGGGCGTACCAGGCTCCGAAACCTGTTTCTCTTTCGGCATAACAATCGACAGATACGTATTCGCTATACTGGTTCCCGAGGAGGCAGGTTGCGCTGCCGGCGTAGAGGTAGTATTAAGATCATGTTCCGAAGACCGCACGAACTGGACTTTCTTGCGACGGATTCCGGCGCCGAAGGGCCGTTGGCTTTCTACCGGGAGGAAGTAATCTTCGTCGGTGGCTTCGTTGGAGGTCATGTCTTGTTTCGGGGGAGGTCGATGTCCTGAATTCAATGACTTAAATTGTTTGCGGCCGTTATTCTAATTTATCGACGCACTAGCTAAGTGGGTCCATGCCCGCTGACGAAGCAGATGGTGGTAGACTGGGCGGTGAGCTTATTTGTGGTCTGGGCCCTGCAGTTGATCCTATGTTTAGTAGCAGCCTTTCTGTCCATAATTGGATTGTTCCTTCCCACCTTGTTCGGTACCTGCCCTTGTTTGTTTGGATGCGGATTTGACCATCGCACAATGCCTATTCCCTTGATTGCTCAGGGTTTCCAGGAGGGTATCTCCTCTATCCCTTATGCGTGGACAGTTTTGGAGATCGTGCCGTGGGTCCTGTTGGTTGCTGCTTTGAAGTATTATTTCGGGGGTGCCCGAAATGGATCGGAGCGGTTGATGCATTCTAAGGTTGTGATGGTTACGGTATGCTCTATGTGTCTTGGCTGGCTTCTGTTGGAATGGAGGCGGAAAATCTAATACAGGTTTCTCTAGGGCGGAACATCAGGGATAGGAGCCAGCGTCGTCCACGAACTTGCCTCGCGCGGTGCCCAGGTCATCCTCCTCACACAGCATGCTCCCTCGGACGTCTTCCTGGTTGACTACATCGAGGATCTCCGAAAATCAACGAAGAATCAACTCATCTACGCCGAGCAGGTGGATTTGTCCTCACTGCACTCAATCCGCACGTTCGCGACGAAATGGATCGATAACGTCCCCCCACGCCGACTGGACATGATCATCCTGTGTGGAAACACGGCTGTACCTTCATCCGCCAGCCGAAAGCTGACCGTAGATGGAATCGACGAAGAATGGCAGGTCAACTACCTCGCCAATTTCCACTTGTTAAGCATCCTCAGCCCGGCATTGCGGGCCCAGCCACCCCACCGTGACGTGCGGGTCATTTTCACAACATGTTCGAGCTACATTGGTGCCAAAATCGACCCTAAGCAGATAGAGGCAGCTTGTACACCCGACACCAACGAGCCACGGGGAACGAAAAATGGCAAGAATGTAAAAAAGGCAGGGGCTGGGTCGAAGAAATCCAAACCCAACCTTTTCGGAGCAAGCAAGCTTGCCTTGATGTCTTTCGCCCAGTCCTTTCAGAAACATTTGAATGCTTATGAGCGTCCGGATAAGATGCCTCCGTGTACGCGTGTGATTGTTGTTGACCCTGGCTTTAGCCGCACTCCGGGTACCCGTCGCTGGTTGACGGGTGGGTCGCTTTGGGGACTGCTTCTTTATCTGATCACCTGGCCTCTATGGTGGCTGGTCCTGAAGTCACCGCAGCAGGGCGCCCAGAGTATTCTGTACGCTGCTATGGAGGCCAGATACGGCCGTGGCACCGGTGGATGGATGGTCAAGGAGTGTCAGGAGGTGGATTTCGCTCGCAAAGATATCAAGGATGAAGAGGCTGGGAAACTGCTGTGGCAATTCAGCGAAGCGCAAATTGAACTCAAGGAGAAGGAAAGTGCCGTGAAAAGGGCACTGGCCAACAAGGAGCAACAGGAGAAGGAAAACCAGAAGAAGAATGGCTCTTCCAGTTCTAAGCCTGCACCAAAAGAGCAGACCCCAGGATCGCGAAGGAGCCGGAAAGCTAACAAATAGACTGTACACTAAAATTGGTTGAAACAAAAGAATTGATAGAGCTTCAAAAAGCAATGCAATCTGTAATTCTTCATGCCTTCTATATCTATGACTGTACTTGTGATGTGTTTTTGAAATCATGCAAAAGCACATAATAGCAAATTATTCAGTTAAGCACTGATATATGTGGCTCAACAAAAGAAACAAGAAAAGAAATTCGTGTCATCCAATCTACAGGGCTTTTGTGTCTATTCGAGGGGCGACTTCGTTGGTCCATCCACCTTCGCATCATAGATCCTAGCATCCACCGGTAGATCATTTCCATAGATTAAAGTAATTTATTTCTTCAGCTGTTCCAGCAGCTCAGCAGGGGGCTCCTGGCGGTAGCCCTGAGGGTTGTTCTTGGTCCAGCGCCAGAGGTCCTCGCAAGCCTGCTCGAGAGTGCGCTCAGCCTTCCAGCCAAGCTCATTGTTGGCACGGGTGGGGTTGGCGGTGAGGTTAAGGACGTCACCAGCACGGCGGGGAGCAACCTCGTAGGGGAGATCGCGACCAACAGCGGCGGAGAAGGAACGAATCATCTCGTAGACAGTGCTGCCCCTGCCGGTACCCAAGTTCCAGGCACGGACACCGGGGTTGTTCGAGCGCAGGTAGTTAAGAGCCTTCAGATGACCATCAGCAAGGTCGAGGATGTGAATGTAGTCACGGATGGCAGTGCCATCGTGGGACTTGTAGTCTAATATCGCAAAAGTCAGTCATGACGGTTTTCTTCTGGATCTGAAGGGTAATAGAGACACTTACCATCACCGAAGACGAGGAGCTTCTCGCGCTTGCCAGTAGCAACCTGGGCAAGAAGGGGCAGCAGGTTGTAAGGAACACCCTGAGGATCCTCACCCATGATGCCACTGGGGTGAGCACCAGCGGGGTTGAAGTAACGCAGCAGAGCACCGTTCCACTTCTGGCTCTCTTCCTGGTTTCCGGCCTTGGCGGCGTTGTTACGCTGGGCGTTGATGACATCGATGATGGCGTTCTCGATGGCGAATTTGGTGTTACCGTAGGGGTTGGTGGGGCCCAGAGGGCACTCCTCGGGGATGGGGATCATGTTGGGGAAGCGGGTGGCATCACCATAGACGGTGGCCGAGCTGGAGAAGACAATGTTGTAGACATTGTGGCGGACCATGGAGCGCAGGAGGTTGAGAGTTCCGTAAACGTTGACATGGTAGTAGTCCAGAGGCTTCTCACCAGACTCGCCGACGGCCTACATTCCAAAACGCAGGTGTAAGTAAGCGGGGTAGATACGTGGCATTGGACAAGCACACCTTCAGGGCAGCGAAGTGAATGACGCTGTCAATGTCGGGGTGAGCCTCGAAAACCTTGTCGAAAGCGCCCTCGTCGGTGACATCGACCTTAGCGAACTCAGCCTTCTTGCCGGAGATCAACTCAATGCGGCGAAGAGCCTCGGCGGAGGAGTTGTAGAGGTTGTCGGCGACGACAACCTTGTAGCCAGCCTCGAGGAGAGCAAGGGCGGTGAAAGAGCCAATGTAGCCCGTTCCACTGTATGATTGCGCCGTCAGTACATTGAGCCTATGGTGGGGTATACTATCCCGATCAAGGTGCGGTAGCTTACCCAGTGACAAGAACCGAACCGGAAGGCATGATGACAGATGCGATTGAAGACAAGAGTAGAAGCAGGTAGAAAGGGTGATTAGAGTGGAAGGGTTGTCTGGAGAGGAAAAGAAGGAAAAGAAAGAAACACAAGCAAGACGAGCGCTGGCAGCCACGGGATATTTAAGGGGCACCGCAATCGGGATTGGTGGGGGAGGAGGACAATTGCGGAGGGGCATGCGTTCGGGTGGATTTCATTTCTCAACTTACTTCGGAGGACGCATCAGGTTCACCGTCCGTAAGGTACCGCAACATGTAATTTTGGTCAGTCTCTCTTTCTCTCCTCTACCTATATTGTATGTACATACTCCGTGCTCTTCATTCCTATAGACAGTATCAAATGTGTTTTAGGGAGTGTCCAATGGATGAAATTTTTCTCTTTTCTGAAATTGTTTCATCTAATGAAAACCCCCCTATTGATCATCTTTAATTTGCCTTCCTGGACGATCTGCGGTCGAGTCCCCAAGCACCACGTAATTCATCTTCAAGCTCTAACAACCTTCTTGGGTGACGATCGACCCTTCAATTTTACAGGTGGTATGGCGTGCGTGCCGTTTATTTTCCACACGTGCTTACATCCACCCGCCTATTCATCGCACCTTCCACTGACGGGCAGGCCCCATGTCCTTAATTATACTTGCGTATACGTAAAATAGGTTTAGTCGCAGCGTCTACACTTCGAACAAACTCCGGTAAGCCGTGAGACCGTCCATGCGTCAATCGAACCCTATGGGAAAGCTGAGCGTCACCCCATATCACCCCATCTGGTGTTCACTCGGCATCATTCGATCGGGCACGGCAACACACTAGGGGCCTTCCCCGGTTAAGAACGGGCCATTCGGCAAGGCTATCGGTTTGCCTTGTCGGATAATATCTGGCATCTGGGTTCTGGGGTTCTTCGAAGATGGAACGAGCGAAACCGAAGGAAACCTATCGGCCAGATGTTTCTGGACCTCACCTCTCTTTTATCCAGTGGTTCAACGCTGAGCGGGTCAAGCTCCACTCTGTCGGTGGACTAAACTGGCCCATACGAAGTGATCCAAGGGTCCATCCGGCTAATATCAGTCAATTATAAGGCATTGAAATTCGAGGTTCGCGCCGAGTGTTGACCGATCTGTTCGTCCTGGACCTTGCCTAGAAAACGTTGTCAATATTAGAGAAGGTGAGACATTCTCAGATCCTGTCGGTTCCGGTTCAGCAACGACATGAAGTTATTCATCCACTAGTCCTTATGCCATCCTCCACTATAGTATAGATAGATTTATAGACACTCTATATCCTCAAATCGCTCCTAAACATTACATTACATACTTAGACCGCACAGTTTTCAAGACATCATTCTTAGAAAACATTCACCATCCCACCTCTCATACTATCATAGATGCTAGGTATTACCTGAGTGACTTCTTCGGCTTTCTGACAATGGCACCGCTTCTTGAGGCTTGCTTCCGAACTTTTACCCTTTTTTGTGCGCTGATATGGGGTTGGACTGAGAAAGAAATATACATTCAAAGAATAAAAACAAAAATGGATATCCGGCATCGCCGCGATAGACCGTAGAGATAATTTCATCGAAGAACATCCTGTCGTCAAATGCCCTTTCGCTCACAATTACTAGTGTCATCAAATTGCCATTTATTTGGCCGTAGTCCTTTCACGTCCTTCATTTGACCAAACGGCGTCATGGTCCTTCGGTTTTTCAGCCAAAGGGTAAATCTTCCTTCGACCGGTCATCCACTCCTCCAATCCGAGTCCACAAGCTACGAATGGAAAACCCGTGGTAGGAGCTCACGTCTGAGTTGACAGAGTCCCACCCAGGCTGGCTCAAGCTCCGGTTGATGACTTTCAACGATTTGCCTTCTTTCGCATCGAGTTGTGTCTCTGATGTGCCTAGAAGCACTAGCGCTCTATGGTTGATAGGTATGCAGGGATATGTTCCCTCTAGCCGAGAAGTTCAACATCGAGACCAATGGCACGCATGAAGAGGTTGACATTTCCAAGTCGTTGGCTAGCCATATCCGCAGGAAGAGTCTTGCTATATGCCACCGTTTCCATGACACGATCCCTATAGTACTGTTAGCATTGCTCCCTGGAGGATTCTATACACGCAAGTAGGACAGAGCCTATTCGGTAGAATTCGACAAGAGTTGACTTACTTCACTGCGATGACCAAGCGCTGTTGTTGCTCGGGGCTAGCTCCAATACCGACCGCAGCCAAGAATTGCCACACATACATATCGTCGCCTGCATTAATAGAGCCAGGGAAGATGTCTCCAAAAGTAGGTTCAAGGGTATCAAACAAGACGTTGAACTTGTCCACCCACTGTTGCCAGTCCCGTTCGGCGGCCTGCCCGGCTTCCTTCACGATCTCTGCCCGGCTGAGAAGCATGGTTAAGATACCCAGCCCAATACGAGTCTTGGCGACCATGTGTACATGAGTTTGCGCGATGACCAGGCCCAAGAGACCAATAATGATGTTGAACGGGGCTTCGTTAACGTAACCCAGAAGACTAGGCATGACCGCTTGCGAGAAGAGATCGATGGCTTCCCTCACGGCTAGAGAAGGCTGTGATTCACCAGGCGCCGGCTGTCCCTGCCGAACCACGTCCAAGCTATCCAGATGCACAACAATCATAGTAAGGATGGTAACCCGCTGTTCCTGATCAATATGACGGAAGATGCGTGGAATGGCCTTTTTGCCCTTAGGGTACGAAAGGAATGCAATGAAGGGGTGTGGGGTGTTCGTGTTGGGAACAATGGGCTCCATAACCTTGAGCGCCTGCCACAACTTCTGATTGAGAGAGCGAACCTTCTGTCGCCATTCCATGTGTTCTTGGATTGCCTCGGCATCTTCTTCATTCGGTGGTGGAGGCATTGTGCGCTCCATATCCTCTAACTCCATCAATGTGCCATATACGTTCTCGATATTGGTCAAGATAGATTTCCGGTCACTCAGACTGAGGTCGGTGTGTGGCTTCTTAACCGCCTTGGCTCCCTCAGAAGTCTCAGGGCGCTTGATATTGAGCATTGGTTTGGGCGTCTTCGCATTACTAAAAGAGATCTTGCCCAAGCTTCCTTCGATAATAAGTTGCTTGTTCTTCGGTTTGGCTTTGGCGGCTTCAACTGCGCGTTGGACTTGTTGCTGCATTCTCTGCATATGGTTGTCTGCACTTTGTGCCTGACGTCGGGATCCATGACCGCCGAGCCGATTGCCCGTCTGGAGAAGGTATGTTTGCGCAAAATGACCAAGTGGCTGATGCGGGTGCTGTCTGGGTGCGCCTCGGATCTGGCTGTAAACTTGATAATAGAAGTCCTCGGCCAAGACAGCTTCCGAATCCGCGTCTGCGACGTTACCTGCAGCTGCTACTAGTTGCTGGAGCTGAATCCGTGTGATAAAGTTCTTATCTTGGGGGGTCATCAGCCCATTGCCCTTGGAGAGAAGGAAGATCTTGTGGTTGCGTTTCGCGCGCTTTGCATCTTCCATCAAGTACGCTACACGCTGCTCTTCCGTCAGCTGCATCAGTTGCTGAGGGTTCGTGATCAACGGCAGATTGCTATTCGTTCCCCTGGGACCCTGAGGCACATTCTGGGGCATCGGTGGCGGCGCCTGTTGTTGTTGTTGTTGCTGCTGCTGTTGCTGCGGCTGGGTCCGCTGCCCGCGTGGGGGAGCTTGATGCTGAGGGTGTACCATGTGCTGAGGAGGAAGATTGGCATTCTGCAGAAGATGCAATGGCAAGTTGGGGGGAGGATATGGCTCAGGGACCATCGATGGGTGGTGCAGCATCTGCGCAGGTGGGACACCTTTAGCAAACTGCGCCTGCAGGAATTCAGGAGGCAGCTGGGAGAAGCCTTCCGGAAACCCAGGGATTTGCTGAGGTCGCTGCAGATGATGGAGTGCCTCTGCCATTGAGTGGGGGAGAGAAACTGGGGGTAAACCCGGGGCAGGCCCGGGGCCCTGGTGACGCAACTGCGCTTCCACTTCCTCCAGGCTGAGCATCTTCCTGGCCTGCACCATCGGCTGAACCACCGGCTGGACTACCGGATGAACCGCGGGCGCGGGCTCGGGCTTCTTCTGTAGACCCCAAACGCTGGATTTGGCCTGAAGATCCGGAATATAATCCGGATCTGAATACTTCTCGTATCCGGTGCGCTTGGGCTTCTGGGCCACGGTACTTGTTGCAACGGGGACCTCGGCGACAGGGGCGGCAGTAGGAGCCTGGGGCTTTTGTAGGCTGTAGCGGACTTGTTCCTCTCCAATGACATCGGCAACCTGAGCGGTCTTTCCGAAGAAGTCAAAGTCCTTACCGACGGCGCTAGTGCCCATGTCCCCGCCGAACGTGTCGTCGTTGAACGCATCCTGATCGTCGTCGAGTTGATCTCCCAAACCATCATACGTATCCTCAAAATCAATTCTGCAGACCAATCAAGAAACCATCAGTCAGTATATTAAGTCTGTTGCACGGATCTTCTGATCGGCTGAAGGCGACATCGAGACGGGCAGTCTTACACATCATCATCATCATTGTCATGATGTCCCTCCAACCTGGCGCGAGCGACTTCGGCAAACGGGTCAGGAGTATCAAAAATACCCCTCTGTCCACCCCCGGGGGCTCGATCCCTCGGGAGGGTCGTATCAAAGCCGAAGAAGGACATCTTCAGCGGGACGTGGATGCAGGGAGATGAGGTAGCAGAGGAGCGAGATTTACCGCCGCATAAATGTAGTGCGGGATGAAGTCGACTTCCGGTCTGATATCACCCGCTTACCGACTCCAGGTTAGTGCCGGAGTGGGATGGCTGCCTAAGGCAACGACATGTACCTTTGTGCAAATAAAAAGGGGAATGAATCAAATGTTTCGAAGAACCGCTGTCAAGGTATATGCTCCGTTTGTTATGGTCTTCTGATACTTAGTGAATGCAAGGCCATGTAAAACCTTATTGGATATTGCCGTCATCGCCAAAGGTTTGATCTGACTGTCGTTAAGCCCAGCTGCTGCCCCAAACCCCCGGCAGGAATAGATCGTCGCCTTAGAGTCGCCATGGCCCCATTCAAACATATCACACAGGGTGAGCAACCGATGTATATGTATTAACTACAAAATCTAAAAGAATAAATCCCTCTTTCTACTGCCTAGCACATTGAGGATCGTGTAACACATTCCTCCGCAATGACCAGAATGTCTATTCAACTGGACAATCACACTTCTTGGAGCTCCTAATAGGGGAGAGAGTCTTGGCCAATGATGGTAGAGTACATTACGTTGCCATTCCACTGCCAACTAAATCATGATCGCGAACAAAAGATCCTACTTCATGTAACCAATTTTCCCTCGTATCCTTGTGAAACTAACTCCTCGGCATATTGGCTCGCGACCCCGACGGTTTTCCTGCAAAGGGTGGGGATCGTGTAATTTCCTCTCTTACTAGAGAATAAATAATTTCTTCCAGAAAAGTGTCTCTCCCTTGTCTCATTGCTAGCCTTCAGCCGTTGCCTTCATCGCCACTCGGGCTGTCAACCTGTCGCCAGACGACTCACTTCTACAGCCCTGTCTCTAATTGACGGCACTTAATTTCTTGACCTTCTTAAAGGCTGCTTCCCTTCACCTGTTCTCATCATTCGTTTAATCCTGGTACATAACCCCTTGCTTTCCGACCTGCCCGTTCCTGTATACAAGGCTAGGCACCCATTTTCAAACCTCATCTGGTTGTTCGATAGTCCCGTGTCTGGCACGGTAGGGGCATCTTACAATCATGTCATCGGGACCGGTGAAATACGTGCGATATCTTCTTTTTGCCGCCGCGGTTAGTGGTTCCTTGCCCACGCTGTTTCATACTAGTATCTAACCTATGCTTTCAATATAGGGTTTGGCCGTTTTCTTTTTCCTCTCCAGAAGTGCAATTCCCATCCCCGAAAGCATCGGCTCGAAGTTGAACCCGGCCGGCTACAAAGATAGCTCCGCCTCTGCCCAGACCTCTCATGACAATGCTGCTACCCCGAAGGAACATGCCAACAGTGCCCCGGAGAGCGTGAGCACCCCTCAGGGTGCACGGGCTAATGCGACGTTTGTCACATTGGCGCGCAATTCGGATGTTTGGGATATTGCGAAGTCAATTCGGAGTGTTGAAGATCGCTTTAATCGCAACTACCATTATGATTGGGTGTTCCTGAATGACAAGGAATTCGATGACGAATTCAAAAAGATCACCACGGCCCTGGTTTCCGGTACCACCCACTACGGTGTCATTCCAAAGGAACATTGGTCATACCCTGAGTGGATCGATCAAGACAAGGCGAAAAAGGTGCGTGAGGACATGGGTCAAAGGAAAATTATCTACGGTGATTCCGAGAGTTACCGACACATGTGCCGTTACGAGTCTGGATTCTTCTTCCGGCACCCTTTGATGCTGAACTACGAGTACTACTGGCGTGTGGAGCCCAGCATTGAATTGTTCTGCGACATCAGCTTCGATCCTTTCCGATTTATGAAGGAAAACAACAAGAAGTACAGCTTTGTTCTTAGTCTATATGAATACTTCGATACTATTCCTACCCTCTGGGATAGCGTGAAAAAGTTCATGAACGATCACCCTGAACACATCGCGAAGGACAACTCAATGGGCTTCTTGAGCGATGACGGTGGTAAAACGTACAACAAGTGCCATTTCGTAAGTACCTCGTTTACTGAAACTTGAGTGGGCTTCACTAACCAGAATCTTGTGAGCAGTGGTCGAATTTCGAAATCGGACACTTGGAATGGCTCAGATCCAAGGAATATCTGGATTACTTCGAATCCCTTGACCGCGATGGCGGCTTTTTCTATGAAAGATGGGGTGATGCTCCAGTCCACTCTATTGCTGCTGGTTTGCTCTTGGAAAAACAACAGGTCCACTTCTTCAATGAAATCGCCTACTATCATGTCCCCTTCACCCATTGTCCGACGGGCGAGCAATTGAGGCTGGATCTCAAGTGCCACTGCAACCCCAGTGACAACTTCGACTGGAAGGGTTATTCCTGTGAGTCAACGCTTACTTGTATTGGGGAACGGCTACTAACACATCCTTCTACCCAGGCACTTCCCGCTTCTTCCAGGTTAATAACATGAAAAAGCCCGCGGGCTACGAGAATGAGAGTTGACTAACCGCTCTCGGAAAAGTCTTGCTCGCGATAGTCATTATTGGCGGTCTTGTCCTTGCAATCAGTAACAAGGTTCGAGCACGAGCGGTCCATGGCGGACTTACGCTACTTGAGCGAACCGCCGCCATACGGGAGACCTATCTTAAACGATAAGAAGATCCACCTGGCCATTTTGTTCCAACTGTAGATGCTGGGCATTGGCTATTTCGGCCCTCGTCTTCTTCCTCTTTTTCCTTTATGTTCGTATTTCCGCGGTGTCATGTGTCTTATTATAAGGATATTTCATCATCTTCTTTACTTGGTTTTAGGGAGTGATTGTGCATATTCATGAAGCGCTAAGGTTACAGCAGGGCAATTACCACACTATGTTTTGGCTTGAGGGAAAAGCGAAAATAACCCGTTCAATATAAAGTTCCATCATAAATGTACATAGCTATTTTATAACGATGACGACGATAAGAGTTCGTTTGACAAACCCAAGTAGATAGTAGAATACAAGCATCTGAACATCGGCTTCTCGCCCATCGGCCTAGTCAGGGTATCTCTCCAGCCTCGATCAATTAATCCCTCTTCGGCTTCTTAGTTCCATATTTCGATCTGCTGGTCAACCGATTGGCAACACCACCCTACAAGGAGTCAGCACCCACGTCACTCGATCTACCAATGGATAACCAAAAGACAACATACCAAATCCATCGCACCACGGACCAAATGATACTTCACACCAGGACAATCCTGAGCACGTCCACCACGAACAAGAACAACACTGTGCTGCTGCACGTTATGGCCTACAATCACCCTTGTTAGCATCGAAGCCCCTAAACCACCACCAATATAGGAAGACAAACCTTCACCAGGAATATAAGCCGTAACCACCTTGCCACTACTCAACCGTACTCTTGCCGTCTTCCTCTCACCAGAGTTGGGCTTCTTTGGCTTCGTAATACCCGTCTTCAAACACACACCCTTCATCTCAGGCCTGTCCTTCAGCGCCGGGGACCGGGCACGACGCGCCCGCTGAGCAACCCGGCATCCGCGACGAACTTGATTATAGGTAGCCTGGCGGAACGGGGAGGTCGAGAACTGGCGGATAGCAAGGCTGGGAGTGGTAGCGGCAGCGACGGCCGTGGGTGTGCGGAGGACGGGCTGGAACCGGGGGATGGAGTATGAGGGCTTGGGGGCGGCGATAGCAGTGAACGCAGGACGCTGGATGATGGTCCGCAGCGTGCGGAGGGTGAGGGAGGAGACGAACGGCGGCATTGTGTGTGAGAAGCGCGGTGATGTTGCTGCCTTTCCTTTTCTCTCGGAGGTTCTGGTATAATTGATCGGGGACAATTTGCGACATCTCTCACGTGACGGGCGTGCTTACTGAGGATCGGAATTGCGGAAGTGGTGGTTAGGGTGTACCGGAGAAGCTGTTGGACGCGCTATCCTACCGTTGCCTTGTCAGGTCTATCGTCAGAGCTTCGGTATCTGTCTAACCTCCACTGCGCTTTCAGTTCCGCTTCCATCTTGACCTTCCCCATCTTCCTCCACCATATACGATAGACACTGGTATCTCTCCCGCCTCGATATACCCAACCGATAGTTTATTAAATCTCACTCTCAAATCCACCACAATGGTATGTGCTCACCCCATCGACCACCACCCCAGAACTACATACAACACTTCATCCAAGCAAAGCAACCCACCCAGCTAACAAAAAGTGAAAAAGTCTCTCCGCATCGCCCCAGCCACAAACCACCGCAGCCAAACAACCAACACAACCACCCGTCAAAACATCCCCATCTCCCTCCCCCACCCCTCAAAAGGCGCCCCCTCAGCCCCCGGTCTTCCCGACACCCTCCGCGACAACATCACCCTCCCCGCCTCCCGGGGCCCTCCCTCCTCTCAATCCGAAATCCCCGCCTCCGCACACCCTCTCGAAGCCCGTCTGATTGCCTGGCGCCAAACGCAGGATGCAATGAAGATGGAGTCCCTGCGTCGAGCATACGGTATCGCGGAGCCCATCCGTCGCGGCATGGAACTGAAGCTCGTGCGGGATGGAACATTCCGGCCGGCTGTGCTGGGCGGTGCAAAGGCCGGCAATGTTCATGAGGATATTCTTGTGCTCGGTGGACGGGATACGGAAGTCGGGTGGGAGGATGTGTTTAAAGGTTCGTCATCATTCTCCTCCACCTATATATCTCTACTCCATAGTACCTGGAGCTTGTGCTCGAGGATTGGCCCTTCATATACTGACTCAGCACAGGAGACGAGTTCAGAGAACCACCCACTTTCCACGACGAGATGGAGAAGAGGCTGCGGATGGATTTCTAAGCTACGTTTCGATTGCCGGCTTCTGGTTTCCGTTTATGCTTCGTTGGTCTCGTTTATTTAATTCATCATATGGGTCGTTATGATTCTTTATTCTCGATACAGGCGGGATGTGAACAAGAGGATTTGATAGGTGGCCCACTCATGATTTGATGGTCAAATACTACTAGATGCAATTAGACATACGGGTTGCATGGATGAATAAGTTGGGCTACACGTATTGGTCGTGGATTGTATTAGGCCGAGGAAGCATATTTAAGGGGACCGCAGTGCTCCTTTGTGTAGCGGTGCTATTGTTCGTACGTCGCTTGTACGCCGTCAAGTCATGTTACACGGTTAGAAGCCACAGCCCTGCGCTACCTCATTTACATCTAACTATGGGGTGTGTTCATAATGTTTATCGAGTAGTGGAGATATCGGCGCGGAGCTAGGTACCATGATGACTTCGTCATGCGGAGATAGATGTGGCATTTACGGCAGGACTATGAGAGGATTGAAACAGCCAGTCTTGTGCTTGGCGATGAAAAAGAATATGAAGAATCTGCTAATATGTAGACACATGCTGACGGACAACAGCTTGGAGGATCAAAGAAAATAGGGTATATACGAACGGGGTGAAGGACAAGAGCAGCGTCGAGCAGCTCAAGTGATTATGCAAACAAATGGAAACCATCAAACCAGAAACACACTAAGAATACCACACATATGCCTCGGTGCTGGAAGAGCAAATACAAACATCCGGAACGCCGTCCCTGTTTACGGTCACAAGTGGCCAAGTAGATATCCCGCATCAAGGCCACAGAGCGATGGCCACGCCAAAGCGCTCACAAATAAGACGAGGTTAAACCCAAAACGAGATAGACGGACGGGGGTATGGGCCATGATGGGTCCATCGCGCCCAAGAGTAGACCAACTAGACGAAACCTCGTGCGATATTGAATAAACCACAGACGTGCATTGTCAGAGCCGGAAGGCCACGTAACGTCGAAGCTGAATAAGGATACAACCCCCATCATCGGTATGTGCAAATACAGGATCCAATAAGTTCATTGGATTATGCAGCGACAACCCGGGCTTCGTTCACTGGCTTCACGTTCCCGCGAGTACTGTGGCTTAGAGCCTTTGGCATCCTCCTCATCGACAAGTTCCTGAGGTTTGATTGTCATGTGCACCACATTGGGAGCATCATGGTTAAATTTGGAGTCTAATACTTGAATCAGCACCTCGCCAAGTGACACTTAGCTTGGTAAATGTATAACATACCTGACAGAGGCGCTTTATCATCGAGCAGTTTACCAAACGAGATCAGCCGAATGTAACTCGGCGATGATGGTCGCGGTTCCCAGTCTACAGATGCGCACATTAGTCTTACTCGATCTCACCCGGTCCGGTCTTTGATAGCTGTCTGCGCCAATACATACCTTGTCGCCATTCCCTCCAGATCAACTCCTTAAGCGTGTATACGCTCATAGCAAAAGGATCGTTGTTTTCCACATTCACCGATCGTTTTCGGAGATACTTCCCATCGATCTTGAACGGATGTCGCGAGCCTGATGTCAAAAGCAATGTGATCATCAATGACGGACCCTGGTCTTCCTCCTTCGCGTCAGATTCCTGCGATGCCTGCTCCGCAGGGGGCGCCTCAATAGTCGAGGCCCCGGACTCAACGGCGGGCGCATTGGAAGTCGGGAGAGTATTCGCATCACTTGGTTGTTGGGGTGGAGGAGCACTTTCGCCACCGGCGACAGGCTGTGTATTTGACGTTTCGGTCACTATATGTTGATGGGGGATACTTTCATGATGGCCAGACGTAAGAGGGTTCGCCGCCGGTTCTGGGGCTGAAGCAGGAGCGGAGGCTGATTGCCCATTGGATTCTGGGGAGTGCACAGCGGTGGTGGTAGGAGCCGAATGCTCATCATTATCTCCAAGTCGCAGACTGTCCGTCTTCAAATTATCGTCGTTGGAGGCCATGTTTGAACTTGATTTCCTCCGATGGCCGGTCACCCTTGGAAGAGGAAACAATGATAGAATATGGCAGCTTGATGGGGATGAGTGAGGATGGTCGGGGTGTTAAATGAGGGCAACAGTGATTGACTGATTATTCTACCCCAATAGGGACAAGGATGGCGGAACAGTTGCTTGTCAAGTGGGGGAAGGGGAAGAAGGAACGATAAACGAGAGGATAGAACGAAGACGAGCCAGCGATCCGCGGCTAAAAGAAAGGAGACGGGAGTGGGTTTGAATTGAAGGGTAAAAACGAGGCTCAGGCCAAACGGAGGAACCAAACGGAGTGGTTCTATTTCGGGAGAAGGATGAAGGGGGCCATGCGACCGACGAAACACAAGCGATAAAGGAGAGGAGTAGGGAGTGAGCGAAGTGTTGCGTCGTGTGTACTGTGTACCCGGTACGACACAGACGGTAGGTAATAATGGGAGGGGGTGGGGAGAGAAGTCTAGAAAGGAGGCGCGAGAGAGGGCCAGAAGAGGCGAGACGGTTGCGCGGAGAGGAGAAGCTTTGCTAACGGGCAAGATGTCTTTGAGCCCCGGCAAACTGCCAGTTAGAGAAGTTGAAGTTTGGTACTGGGGGCGGAGATGAAGGGGAGAAAAAGGGAAGGAAAGGCGGTGATCTGGTTGGTTTGCTAGTCTTGCCGTATGGAGTCGTTTACTAGTCCTTGGACTTGTATTTCGCACCTTGGTGGGTTTAGTCTATAAAGTATTTTAATGACAGTTTCCACTCAATCTAGGTAAACAATCAAATACCTTCCTTGGCTATTTTCCCTGTTCTCTTCGTTCGACTGGAGAGCATGGCATATAGGGCAATGATTAATTGCCGATCGGCTCGGCGCGTGCGGAGATCCTGCAGCATGAAATTGTACAGTACATAAAGGACATAGGTATGACGTGGTTTTGGCTGAACCGTTTCCTCGGATAAAAATAAGCTATCCGCGACCTACATATCTGCGCACGTCAGGCTAGGGAAATGTCGTTCAATAAAGATTAGTTACCGGTATCGGGTGGAAACAGCTTCAGGGACATCTATTGAGTTAGGGCTCTGTCACTTAAAAAACCCGCTCCTCATCAACTAGACTTTCCTGGTGGACGCTTGCCAGCTGTCTTTGTGATAATACAACCAAGGCTTAGAAATCGCAGATCAGACTCATTCCTTGTTCGTTAGAGATACTAGTTCGAGCAGGGCGCTCCAAGTTCAATTGCCCTGGCTTTGATCCTCTTAAAGGAGTATATCGTCGCACCAAACTAGGATACCACATGCACAGGAACGGTACACCCAAAGCAAGTCTCTAAATTAGAATTCGACGACTCCTTGAACCGATTAAATCTTCTATTTCCAGTTTTGTACGTAGACTGTGGATTAGCTAACTTGCAGTGTTCCTTGGGGAATTATGCCCATACACCCTTTTCAAGATCAATCTGAGCTTGAAACAAAGCGTGACTTAAGATTAAATTCTGCAGAGAGTTCCCAATTTAGGTTGGCAGATCTACCCTTCGTTCATGAATTTGTCAACTTCGGGATCAGAGACTTCTATTGCCGAGTCGTGTTACCCTAACGCCGTGCTACACTATGAGCTCTGAAGAAAGTCTCACAGATGATGTCACGCTCAGCTTCATCAGAGGCCTCTGTTATACGTGCTCTGAAATTTATGTTTATGTTTCATTTTCATGTCTTATCCACCACTGTTCCTATGTTATAGGGTAGTGATACGTTATACCTGTAATCCCGCTCGAGAAAAGGACTCATTTCTCGTTTCAGCTGAATTGTTCTGCATAGCTTTGCTCTATGACCTATAAGAATATCAGTCATTTCAACACGTTAAGTATTGAAACCTTACGTAGGGTTCTTTCTCAGCACCATGCGGCTTCCAAGACACTATTTAAACCATAAAAGCAAGGAGGGATCCCAAAAGCTTTGTACACCACAAGATCAAACGACCCGACATGGCTTAGTTATAGCTTCCGACATCCTGTCTCAAGTAACAGACAGTTCAGTTTGCTTCGTCGCCCGAATGGCTATCTACACCACCAAACCACTCTGAAGACATACGATGTGTCCATGTCAAGAATAGCCTTCCTGGCCAATAGCACGTAGGAATATGAAAGGCTGGATAATGGTCTGGGGGTAATCAACGAGCCTCTCTCTTTTGCGAATGGGTGAAAGCATCTGGGTCTCATAATCACGCCTCCTTTCATGTCACAGGGTTCATGAGTAATTGAGGGATATAGACATCCGCCAAGATATGAAGATCTCTCGCTGACCGATAATCCGATTTTTGTTTTTCTAAGTGGAGACCAAGCAAGGAGAAATGGAATGCTACCTATCCCGTACCGAGCTGAGGACCCATTGAGAAGTGTATTGTGTACATTCTTCCCCCACATCCCCTGAGGATACTGTAGTTGTTCGTGCCATTTTGACTGAACCAAGTGCTGATCGTCAACAGGAAAATCTTCTTAGTCGGAAAGGCTTTCTAGAAATGGCTGAGGTATTGTACTTCGGCTGCATCTGCTGGGGAGGTTCACTGATCAGTTATATATTCGGACTCTTGAGTCTTAGCTTGTAGGCCTAGCATGCCCCTTTCTTAACAATTCAGATGTAGCTTAGTTTTTTCTTTTTGTTCATTTCCTGAGTAATAGGGATCCTATTTAAAGACTAATTTCATATGAATCTGTCATAGTGACTTTCCGCTTATTGAAGAATCTCCCTGCATTACTTGGGATGTCAAATACCCTCCAAGTTTTATTGCTCATTGTCTGTCAATTGATAAAATCCGGACATAGGGCATCGCACAGCGCATATTGATGTAGGAACGGTTTTCATGACGGTTTTCGTGCTTGCATTTGCATATAATAAAGGATGTTCAAGCTTGACTTGAACTCCAAGTCCCAGAAGATATACTTATGTATCAACACCTGAAAGCGCGCGAATTCTCTTAACAGGGTGAGTTTATCTAATGAGCTTCCTTCACTGATTCAAGACAACATACTTAAGTGAAGCAAGGGAAAGCAGTTCACAATGTCAGGTGATGTTTGATCAACGCCCTATATACTCAAATCGAAATAAGCAACCGATGAGTGGGTCTTGTCCCCTAAAAGTGGCATGTAAGTTGGCCGATTGATAATAAATCCCCGTCTGAGGAGAAGAAAGTACTTTTCCAGCAAATTTAGAGGTCTGTACTAGTTATGATTCAACATCTACCTGGACCAGTGAGGCATTTTGATGCCGCGATAACCTAGAAAAATATCGTGACCAATTGGGATGATTTTGCCATCTTCTAGATCACTGGAAGAAAAAGTTTTCCTTACGATATTCCATTAAATTCTCTATTAATAGGTTCATAAGGACCGGATAAAACGGCTATTTTAATGGCGCGAGAACTTGCCGATAATCTTGTTCTGTATAGATCGCCTCATCAGTCATACAATTGAATAATTTGTTCCTCAGTAGGGCCAAGCTAGACCGTCTCCACTTAGTGTTGCGATTTTTTTTTTTAATACAGTGTCTCCCTGATCTACGAGGTACCCATACAAAGTATGCGCAACAAAAGTATAACAGTAATATTACTCCTCCATCATAGAAGAATAAGGGAAATAAAAGAAAGAACCAATTATAGAGCCCAAGGGATTCATTCTTCATTGATGCTTTCATATTTCGTAATGACAGAATGAATTGATGTCACACTCAGGGCCTAAATCCTAGACGGGAGATAGTAGCATGCCAATCCTATGACAGGGATCCTCTCACGCCACTCAACCGCTAACAATCAGACGTTCTTCCAGCACTGCACATTTCTTTTTCTGCCAGGTCACCTGCCAGGCAAATCTTCTGCTCGCACCTGACTAAAGCTCGAACGTGTTCACAGGGGATGAAGCAAAAGTTGAACGGAGTCCAGATAAGAGTCGGTGGGTCCCTTGCCTTCTGGAATGTCTGAACTATAGCGCATTTCACTACTTCCTTACCTTAGCTCTATCATCGTCCGATCGCCACAACAGGAATCCTGCGGTCTCATAACTGGAAAGTCGCATTGCACTCCCCTGACTATCATGACATCACCCCAACTGAGGGACGCGTTGACAATAGCAAAGTAGACAGTTTGTCCCAATGAAATGGACACAGAAATTATTAAGGTATCGAATCATTTGATTGCAATTGAGGTCAGTTGCCTATCATACCTTGGGTCGAAAGCGATGTGCCCGTTTAAGATCCCTTAGCCGTGGTACCCGAGCCGACTAAACGTCTACACTGCAATTGAAGTCAAGTGGGCCTTCCCATATGCTATCATGCGATTCTTGGCTCTGATATGCAGAGTCTCCGCGGCAGATATCTTTTGATGCAATCTAAAGTATCCTGGCCTGGGTCTAGATTTGGTTGGGTCATATGCCCAAGCTCCCAACATGGACCATTGTTTTTTTAAGCTGCAAGCTGGACTGCCACGCCTACAACTATTTACAGACGATGTCCGCCTAGATGATTTGATTTTCATTGATTCAAGAATTCTCACTTCACTCTCACCTCATAATAATGCTACAGCCGTCGCTACACGCCCCTGACTATATAACCCGGACTAAGTCCAGGGAGCCTGAGCTCACTATCAATCTCACTGAGCCCGCGGTGTTCATACCTACATACACACATAAATCCGCTGTCCTGAGGGGTTCTTGTGAATTGAAGATCAAGGAGACGTTAATGGTGAAGAAATTGACCGTCAATTTTAGCGGAGTTTCTCATGTACACTGGCCTCATGGTAAGGAATCCAAGATGCGGTTAAACAAACTGCTCTACGACAAATGTGCGAGAGAATTGTCTAACAGGATGTAGGTCTTTATGATTCGAAGACCATCGCAGATCGTACGCTGACGGTGTTCGGTCCGGATATCTCAGGGACTGCACCCCAATACCATGCCGATCAAGAAAATCTAGGAATGTTGGAAACGGGTATCACGGAATGCAATACATCGCGCCAAAAATGCGGATTGTGGGGCACCATCACGAACAAGTTATGTTCGAAATGCAAAAGTACAGCCGCGCCAGAGTATCAGCTATTGAATCCCGGTACCTATACTTACGACTTCGAAATGATATTGTCCCCTCAGCTGCCAGAGTCTGTTAATGTACGGCGGAGCCATGTTCAATACAATGTCCGAGCCTGTCTAGAACTCCCGGGGCATTTCAGGCATAGCATCATCCAGAACATGCCGATCGCTGCCATCCACTGTCCGGCAGAGGATTTCGTGGAGGATGCAGAGCCGGTTTACATTGCTCGGGCCTGGAAGCGCTTGCTCCGATGTGACATCCTGATGTCGAGAAGAGGCGCTCCTCTCTGTCATATATTACCTGTGACTGTGTCTTTTGCCGAGCTGGCCAACACGAGGTTCCATGGCTTACAAATCTATATTTCGGAGAACGTTCAGTACCTCCGAAAAGATGGTCTTGTTTCTTGCCTTGGACCTTTCAAGAGGAGACTCTTATATGAAGCGGCAGAAGACTTTGTGCCCACTTTGCCGCCCTATAGGTTGGGTGAAGATGATGATCACCTTTCAGAAAAAAGCGGCTGTGGTGGACAAGAGAGTGTGGTACTTACGGAGTGCGAGCACAAACCCGCGACCTCCGAGGGCATGACGCTGAATATCGACTTGACATTACCCACCTGCCAGGACCACTCTGAGGATAATTGGATGCACTTTAGCACTGAGTATAAGAGCGCAAGAGTGTACCATTGGCTTGATGTAAGTCCATCAGTGATTTAGTGCGAGAAAAACCTGTAGTAATGACGCATCCAGTTTGTGTTTTCCATGTCCAGACCTGGGGCGCCAGTCGTGCAGAGGATCGCCAGGGTTCCACTGTCGCTGCGATCCTGTTATGCACAACACGCCAACGCGTCCCTGCCGGCTTATTCACAAACATGTGAAATAAAGCCGTTTAACACAATTCACGCCGAGGGATCTTTTGACCAAGAATCTTTTGATCAAGACCAGCACTGGTGGTCGGAAAACGACCGTAGATATTCTGTTTCTTGATGATGGGTTTCGGGCTCCCGAAGATTGTGGGCATAAGCTTTCACTTGGCTTGCATTACGACCAATGATAGTGACTAGTTCTGGTTTGATAAACTTGACGTCGCCCAAGTACCCATGCAACGTTTGGACGACGAGCAAAAGAATTTTCACACATGTTGTCTCCATCAGTGGGGACGACTCGTGACTGTGTGGTGGAATTAAACAACGGGTATTACATCATTGCCCTTCCACCGCGCTGGGGACAGGTCCACCTCTACCTCTGATTCTACACTCTATGGTGTTTCCAAGTGGCCCTGCATTACTTCCTCCAGTCAGAGAATTCTGGAATGATGTCAAAGGACAGTACTGCCCACGGTCTCTATCACTGTGGAGGTGGAAACCATTCTCCCCATAGGGTCTTCCTCCCACATTGGGGTATGTGACGCCACAGGTTACCACACGCAGTATCTCCCGTCGACGATTGTCGTCGACCTGGAGCCGTTCCTTGCTTAAAAACCGTCTGATCCTATTGTCCTGTACATAAGTTTTCTTTCTCAGTCCAGTTTCTTTCTAATATTATATCAATTTAATTCCTGCTCTACCCCTGATATTGCGCATTGTGCTTTCAACGTAGTATAGTATTCTCACTATGGCGCCTCCCACCTATGCGGGGATGTCAGGGCGGAAACTGTCCCTGACAGTGTCTACCATTGCAACAATGGGGTTCTTGCTTTTCGGATATGATCGTGAGCCTCTACTCTTTGCATATATCTAGGGGAAGCTACGCTGACCACGGCTGTAGAGGGTGTGATGTCGGGCATCATCTCAGACCCGGCCTTCAACGACATGTTCACGGCAACCAAGGACGACAACACAATGCAGGCTACTGTAACTGCAGTCTATGAAGTCGGTAAGTGGCCAATGCGACCCTAACAATGCGCTTCTTCGTTCGAATAAGCTAATCCTCCAGTGTAGGTTGTCTCTTCGGTGCAATCCTCGCATTGCTATTTGGAGACCGGACGGGTCGCCGGTGGATGGTTATCTCTGGTGCCACTATTATGATTGTCGGTGTCGTTATTCAGGTGTCTGCTATGCCCGGCTCTCTTCCCCTTCTTCAATTCATCTTCGGTCGAGTCATTACTGGCATTGGGAATGGAATGAACACTTCAACAATCCCCACATATCAAGCTGAATGTTCCAAGACCAGCAACCGAGGACTTCTTATCTGCATCGAAGGTGGTATCATCGCAATAGGTACAGCTATTGCATACTGGATCGATTATGGTGCACACTACGGACCACAAGACCTGGTATGGAGATTTCCGATCGCGTTCCAGGTCGTCTTCGGAATCATTATTATTGTCGGCATGTTCTACCTACCCGAATCACCTCGCTATCTCATCGCCCACGACAAAGTCGCCGAAGGCGAGCGGGTGCTCGCCGCGCTAGCTGGCACTGAGATCGAAGATCGTCACACCCAAACAGAAAAGAATCTGATTCTCGATTCCGTCCGAGCGTAAGCCTTCCTCTTCTATGATTTGTTCCTGGCCCTTGAAGCTTACCATGAGACAGTTCGGGAGCCACGAAAGCCAAGTTCAGCGATCTGCTTACTGGTGGACCATCCCAGCATCTGCGCCGCATGCTCGTGGGTTCGTCGTCGCAGATGTTCCAGCAGATCTCTGGCTGCAACGCTGTCATCTATTATCTCCCAGTCTTGCTTGAGCAGTCTATTGGTCAGTCGCATAACTTTGCGCTCCTGATCGGCGGTATCAACATGATCTGCTACGCCATCTTCGCGACGTTCTCATGGTTCTTCATCGAAAAGATTGGCCGCCGTAAATTGTTCCTGGGAGGCAGTTACGGGCAGTGCGCAGCAATGATCATTGTATTCGCCTGTCTTATTCCTGGCGATAAACAAAGTGCAAAGGGAGCCGTCTTCGGCTTTTTCCTGTACATGTGTTTCTTCGGAGCCACTTGGCTGCCCTTACCATGGCTCTATCCTGCTGAACTCTCCCCTATCAAGACCCGAGCCAAGGCCAATGCCATTTCCACATGCAACAACTGGTTGTTTAACTTTACAGTGGTCATGATCACCCCTGTTATGGTGGAGCATATCGGCTGGGGCACATACCTGTTCTTCGCTGCATGGAACGCGGTCTTCATTCCCATCATCTGGCTGTTCTACCCAGAAACGGCAGGTCGTAGCCTGGAAGAGATCGACCTGATCTTCGCCAAGGGCTACGTGGAGAATATGAGCTATGTGCGCGCGGCGAAAGAACTCCCCAAGCTCTCCGACGATGAAATCGAGGCCAAGGCAGCCGAGTACGGCATCCTCGACAACAACGAGAAAGTCGAGGAGCGAATCGCCGAACATGCCCCGCAGGACTCGCAGGAATACTCGTCCTACCTGCCCAGTCAACTATAAGGGTATTATATGATGGTGTGAGATTCATCAACTCACTGTTCTATACTGAACAGAACCATAAACTTCAAAAAAAATATGTACTATGAAGGCGTTTCGGGACTCCCTATACTTGCTTTTGCCGGATACCCATGATATCAGGGGATGTTTTTATGCGATGGATATGTAGTATGTTTGCACATACATTTGGATTATTGTGTCAAATACAATGTTATGTTTTATGTAGTAGTTATGATGACCTTCGGGTCGGTTACGTGCCCAACGCCATCAACTGTTCTTATGATTATACAAGACATCTCTAGCTTTGGCAACTATGGCCTATTCTACATCGAGCCAGAAAGATAATAATAAAGATTGGCAAGGATATATACCAAATCCAAAGACACGATCAAAGTCACACCACCCTCCTTGAGAAATCAGATCTTAACTCCCCCCCCCCCCCCAAACCAGAACCCTAGTGAGATGTACTCTTAATACCCCCAGGACCAGAACTAGAAAACCAACCAGATCATCAGCACATCCCAAAAAAGCCACGCCAATAACACTCAGATTCCTTACCTCATAACCACCTTCTTCGAAACAACCCAAATACAAGTCCCGACAAGAGCAACCTTGATCAATCCCCCGATACCCCCGCGGCCGAATCGGGGCTGGAGACGACGGTTATAGTAGAAGTTCGGGTTGAAGGGAGCAGAACGCATATCGATGATTAGTAGTGGGTGTGAGGGCGCCTTTGTCCGAAGGTAAAGAGGATGGTTAAACGAGGTATATGATTTGGTAGGGTTGGGTTCATTGAGCACTACTTGGCTGTGTAGAATAGGTTTATTATATGCTGTTCTCGGGGTTTGGGTAATTGTCCGGGGGCGAGGTTTTAGCACCGAAGTTCGGGCTTAAGATATACGTAGGTGAGTCTGGGGAGTGGGATTCCGGGTTTGTGGAGCTATTAGTTTTTTTTTTTTTTGCTATAGCCTCTTCCTTATTCATATTCTTCTGTTTCTGTCCTTGTCTTTTAGAGGCGTTGGCAGATAGTCGTGGTTTTTGTGTCGGACTTGGGGTGTATAGTTCGTGTTTTGCTTGGTTTTGGCTTTGTACATACAGTTGCGATTATCTTAACATTGACTCTAGTTGAAAGTAGAATTGGTTGGGTTTCAAGTTCTCTGTGTTTTTTTTTTTTTTTTTTTCTAAAAAATTCATGAATTGAACGGGGGTTGGACAGCCTCGTTTCACAGGACGTCTACTAGCATTTTTTGCATTATCAATCTTGTATATGCTATCTTAGATGCAATGGTCATGATCGTGCTTAGATTAGAAATGCTTTTCATCACTGGCATCGCTCGTAACGGAATGCTTGGGCTAACAGAGGGGATAGAAGGGAAGAAAGCAGAGAATAGATACTAGCGCTGAGATCAGGTGTAATGTATGCTGGGTCAGATAACCATTTTTTGTCAACTTAGACGGTACCTCTCGAATGTCGTATCTACTTAGGTTAGTAGTTGTGCATGGCGAGCATGTGGATAGAGCTGTCGACTCAAAGCCAGCCGGCATACTGGTCGAGAAGCTCGTTTTTGACTCCATCTGAGCCGTGACGCACACCGAGGAGCCGGACAGTCCCGATCTTGCCACCGAAGTCGTCCTCCACCTTACTCTCCCAGTTCTCAAAGAGCTCATTTAACTTTCTAAGCACCTCCTGGTCATCGCGGATCAAGACAGCAATCGCATCATAACCTCCCGCGCCAGGAACCACACCTCCAATCACTCCGTCAATGGCTGACACTGCATCAAGCAGTTCCGTCTGTACACGCGGCTCAATGGGTACTCCCGCCTTGCGGGTCATGCTCCGAAGGTGATTGCGGGAGCGCTGGATGAGGTTGCGGACATCATTGAAGTCTTCGAGCGATTCTTGGTCAGGACTCTGAGCTAGCTGCTTGAGCTGAAGGCAGAGCCGTTCGTTGTTCGACTGGAGGGCAGCCCACAGAAGATCGGCTTCCTGCTGGTTTTGTTTTCGCCATTCGAGCACTTTCTTGACCATGGAAGGGGAATTCGAGCCGCACTCGACGTCGCACAGGACCATCTGCATACCTCGAGGAAGGCGCATCCCGAAATCCAGGCACTCTGTATCCCACGGGTGTTTAGGGTCGGCGTCCTCCACAACTGCGAACAGCCGCTCTTCAAATCCAGGTGAACCGGCGTCGCCGACGGATTCTAAAATGCTTGGGGAGAATCGACGATATAGGCAAGAGCCATAGATAGCAGCAGCCACATCAAATCCAGATCCCACTTTACCCTGAGCGGCACAGTGAGCAGCCTGTGCCAAGTTATGAAGCTTGTCACGAGCAGCTCCAAGGTCGTCCGGCTGTAGGGTGCGGTGAATGACCAGTGACGATACCAGGGCGGTTACTAGAGCTGCAGAGGAACCTAGTCCTGTCTTGTGAGCCTCATGGAGGGGAACACCGAAGTTTACGAATCTTCCAGGGGACTCGGAAGCCCTAGAAAAGGCGGTTTCGGAGTAGTAATCAGTGTCAGCCAGGATTGTCACGGAGAGGGATCCAAAGTCCTTCGAGTCGGCCACATAGCTGATATAGGTGAGAGCGTAGTTGAGAGAAGTCTCGACGAACGGATTGGTACGCCTGGAATCCTTTAGTTCTGGAGCAGTAGGGGTCGAGAACACACTCTTACCCCTCGTTCTTCTGGATCACTTTGATTCCGCCTCCATTCTCGCAACGCTGTATACCGTACTCCCACACAGCATTGACAAATTGCGGCGAACGTACAACCACTACGTCTTCTTTATCCTTGTCGTCCACAGCACTTCCATCCTCGACTGTCTCCGTATCGAAACCCCCTTTCACTGAGCTGAATGATGCACCACGTCGATGACCTCTTCTCAATTGCTGAACGATAACGTGGATCCTGGCATCAAGTGCGATTACCGTCCCCGTGTAATTGCGGTCTAAAACGAGGTAACCACCGGTAAGAAGGACCTTGCCCGGGGCGGACAAGGCGGTGCTCCCGGATGGCGGATAGGACATGAGGGCGGCCGGCGATTGTTCGACCAGGAGGATCTCTTTTGTTACGGAAAATCAAACGGACTGGTTAGTCGAACTGGATCTGGCGATTACTTCACTGAATCTCAATAGTCAGTTATTACTCCATATACGTCCCAGGAGAACCTGTTGTGCGATTTTGAATAGCGTATCGGTTGCGCTAGAATTGTACGCACCAATCCGGGAAAAATCAAACTGTAAAGGGCGAACGTAGGCGAGAGATCAGCGTTATCGACAACACAGTGAGGTACCCCGGTCCCATGTAGTAATCTAGTACCTATGTCGTTTGCTTCCCGAATCGGTCAAAAGTGCCCCGCCTCGAATCGTCACCGAAGATAGGATAGAGAAGTTTGACCCTCAGAAGATTCACCAGCGCACGAAGCAAACAATACGATTATATTATGATTATTTGTGTAGAGAGATTAGTTATTCGTTTGAGAAGGAAGCTTTCCAGAGCTCGTATTATCGCTCCGCCGATTGATTTCCATGTTGTGGCTGCAGCTGATATATATTGTGGCTGAGACAGGTGTTTGTGGCTTGAGCTTTGATGTGACGCCGCTGACTAAGAGAGTTTCCCTCTCAGTCACTAACAGCAACAAATCTTCAAGCGAAGTTACACCCCTCATCGATCGTTCCATCATCATGCTATTTAATACTAGGTTGTCAGATTCTGCCCGCTATTATTGGTGGCAGTGAGCCGCCGAGAGCAAGTGTTGAAGCCTCGTTTGTTACTCCGTAGGGTAACTGTTGATGCTCTGACCCATCGTATGACATATCGGCAATTTCCCGTCGGACAATTTGATCAGGTGTATGGATACTCTTTGGTACTGTTCTCCGTCCCCCGTTACCCCCGTACTTATATTCAACAAATATATTCGGAAAACAAGTCAAGAAGTACTGGCTAGGCAAGGATTCAAACAAAACCATTGGCGCTAAAGAAGGACAAGTGGCCTCTTCTGCATGGGAGTTTATCCCTTTCGTCGAATAGCATGACTGAGACTGCAATTACGTACCGCGATGGAGATGAAAGGAAAAGTTAATTCTACCGTTCTCCATCACTCCTAAGAGGGAAGAAAAAAAAACTCAATGTTGGCAGTTTACTAATACCTTTTGTTTGTTCTCGAACTAGTGCTTGTATAACCATGGGCAAAAACCCTAGCCATTCAAGCACAATAAAAAATATCGCCTCAGGCATCTCCGTCGGTCGCTCGGTCTTCGGATATCCGGAGCTTAGGATCCAGTCCCACTCGGGGCTTAAGACGCCAAACTCCGGAGGAGGGTCTAAAGAAAATGAGCCGGGACGCGGTGAGTCACGCTTGGCCAGACATCAGGAACTTAAGAATTCCCGCTCCTGAATCTTCCTATGGCCCCAGTGTGAACGGCCCGCCGATTGGGTCAAGTCCCCTGACGGCTTCTTATCCCGGGGTTCTAGGGCCACCTGACCTGTGGAAATAGCCTTAGGCAACGAGGGAATGACGGAGGTCGAGTTGTGGTATGGAGTACTTTTTTTGAATTTTTTTGAATTTTATTTTCTCGTGTTTTCTAGTTCGCATCGGACATGTTTAGAACAAGCATAGCCATATTCCTTTTACCCTCCCGCTGGTTCCTGTCTGGGTCTTTTAAATGTAGGATTGTCTGCCCCCTGCGTCGTGTAGATACATACCCGAGGGTTATTCCTTAGAATTCCATCTAAGACGATTCGTTCCCCAAAGGTACGATCAGCTCTAGCACTACACTAACCTATTGAATCCATCAGTATCCTCAAAGGGGTCAAGTAGCGGGATCGGCACTAATCTGCTTTAGGATTGGTCAACGATTATTCTCGCCTTCTCTCAAATATCCATCCATTCCCTCTTGTCCGATCTGTCATATTTTTCGACATCTTAACGAGAAGAATTTTTCCTTCCCTCGTATCAATTCCCTTGTATATACCAGCGCGTTCCTTTGACGGCCAGCTGTCGTCAAATGAACCTGCATCCTTACTATTATTTTGATTGCAAGGTATGAACCAGATAACACATCACCAGAAGCCGGCAAGGCGGAACTAAAAGAATGGTCGCGTGACTAACATTGGAACCAGCATTGCCTCTTCTCGCTGAAGAGGACTCCTGCCAGATAAATGGTCTTCAAACCGTTTAGCCATCTCGCACGTCAGAGTTTCACCAAAGCCTTCACTCATGGCTATGCTCAGTCGGTAGTTGCGGCGTCGCAGTCTTCCTACGCGTCCTCCGCCACATTCAATCAGCTCGCCAATCAACCGGCAAAGGTCTCACGGAGTGCCTTGCAAAATGTATTCCAACCAAGTTCTTCCGGTGCTGGCGCTAAAGCCAGCCAGGGCGGCTCGGGCTCGGGGGACTTAGGTCTCGCGGCGTATTATGCCGCGTGGCAACACGCTCAGCAGACTGGCGATGATAGTGATTGGAAACAGTTTCAGGTGAAGCGGAAATTGGGCTGGAAACCGTCGACGCCGGAAGAAGCAGCAAAGTCCAAGGAGGATGGCTCGAATTCCCATAACTTTGACTCGCCACATATCACTAAGGCCTCTGCCAATGCCGATGTCAGCGCTCAGGTGGAGGAGGCGGTAGCTCGAGAGATTCAGATACAAGAAGAGCAAGCCCAAGCTGAGGAGGCATCCGAAGCAAAGGATAACTCGGCCACGGAGGCATTTCCTGAACTACCAGCGGACGTGGCTGCCATCGAGGATGTCTCCACGGAACAAGCTCGTATCGCTTCCGATCAGATTATCCAGCTGGCTTTAACAAAGAAGTACACTGAGATCCCGAGTGCTTTCGAAGCACTGTTACGGGATGGCTTGACTCCCACGGTCGGTGCTTACAATGCCCTGCTGGAATCGGCTGTGCATCTTCATGGCGACACCGCTCAGGCGATCCCGAAGGCACTGGATGTTTATTCTGATATGCTCCGTCGTAGGGTAATTCCCGACGAGCAGACGTATCGGACCCTCGTCCAGCTATTTGTGGAGCGCGCACACGATGCCCTGAAGTCCAAGAAATCGCTCGAGCAGGACCGGATCCGTTACGGAGGAATGGAAGAGCCTGGCAAGTTCATGCTCCACTCGAGCGAGTTGGAGCGAGCCATTCTCGACGAAGATCATTCACTCGGTATCGCTATGAAACTATTTGACACTGCCACGACAAGACACACCGATGTCGTCTTCTCGTTAGACACGTACAGCCGCCTGATTATCGCATGTGCGACGGAGGGCCAAGTTGAGAATATGATCCGCATCTATGCCCACATGGAAACCCAGAAAGTTACACCGCATGCCTCTATTTTCCCGTCGATGATCGATGCTTTCGCCTCTACTGGAGATCTGCAGAGCGCTGTCGAGTGCTACAACGAGTATAAGGCTCTCGCAATTTCAGACGATAATGGTACGTTCAGCATCGTTCAGCGTCTGGATGGCCAGGTGTACGCTGCGTTGGTCAAAGCGTATCTATCGTGTGGTAAGGAGAAGGAGGCTTTGCGCTTTTTGGAGCGGATCCGGGCCTCTTTCGATGAGGTGACAGAAAATCGAGAAATTCGGAAAGATGCTGTTGAAACCGTGATCGTTCGAGATGGCCTTGTTTCGCACTCCTTAAAATCGGGTGAGCACGATAAGGCGTTGAGTCAAGCTAAGACCCGGTTGCGCGATGGGGCCCTGGATCATGCCATGGCCGAAATCTGCATCGCCGCGGCGGATGCCGGTAACCTCAAAACGGCTTCCGAAGCATACGATTGCCTGCCTACTGATACCGCAAAACGTCATGCTCCTGCTATCTCGATGCTGGCATTGTACGTGCGTCAAGGCAACGTGTCGGCGGCTAGGCCTCTGTGGGTGATGCTAAGCACTGTGGGTCAGACAACACCGGACATGGTTCAGCCGACGGCAATGTATTCGGTGGCCTTATTGAAGAGTGGTCAGATCGAAGAAGCCTTGATCGAGGCCCGTAATATGTTTGGACGGGTCCGCAACGCTTCGATCGAGAACCCTTATCTACTCAACTCTGTCCGGGAGCAGATCAATGAAAGTCTTCATCTCATCGGTCGCGTACTTATTCAGACTGCTGCCGTCCTCTCACCCAAAACTGTCATGACTCTCCTTTGGTCAATGGTCGAGAACGGCGGACTGGTCTCTCCGGTCGCTGACCACGCTGTCGCCAGCCTCGGTCCTATTGCCATCCAACAGCTCAACCCCCGCGACCTATCCCTTGCTCTCCAGGTCCAGGCCGGCATGCTCGTCAACAGCTCCGCGTCTTTGGATGTTGCCCACCCGATTCGCTTTTCTCACATGCTTGACATTGCCTTGGCTACCAGGCTTCAAATGGATCCGTACACCACTCGCGTCGTCGACCAGGCGGTCGGGAAGCTATTCAACAGCCGTCCTGACATGGTAAGGAGATGGCACGACCACCTTGGGCTCACTTCCAGCCCTTCTTCGTTCATGTCCGATCGCCACTCTCCGGTCTCTGAGATGTCGACGATGACCTCTGCGCCCAGCGAAGACTCATTCGATCCGTACGCCTATGCCACCGATTTCAAAGGGTCTGCGATGATTGCCGAACAGTTGGAAAGCACCAGCGGTCGCCCTGAGTCCCACCTCAACGATGCTTTGGCTCGGCTCCGGAACATGCGCCGCTCTGGCCGTCATCCTCGCTACATCACCTATGCCAAACTGATCACCGCTGCCGCCAAGTGTCATCGCAACGATCTGGTCCATGAAATCCTGAGCATGGCTCGCCGCGACGTCCCGCTCCTGCACCAGTATCACGCTGTCAAGTACGGTTGGGTGTCAATTCTTGACGCCATGGTAGCCTCCTGTCTTACCCTTAATGATCGCAGTCTCGCCTCCAAATATCACCAGGAACTTTCTGAACTCGGCTCCGCTCCGTCCGCCAACACCTTCGGTCTTTATATCACTACGCTCAAGGAATCGACTAAGACCTTCGACGAGGCCACCGAAGCTGTGAAGATCTTCCACCGTGCGGTCGCTGAAGGAGTTGAGCCTACCTCGTTCTTGTACAACGCCTTGATCGGAAAGCTTGGCAAAGCCCGTCGTATTGACGATTGTCTCTTGTACTTCGCCGAGATGCGTGCCCAGGGTGTGCGTCCCACCAGTGTTACCTACGGAACAATTGTGAATGCCCTTTGCCGAGTCAGCGATGAACGGTTCGCTGAGGAGATGTTTGAGGAGATGGAGTCGATGCCCAACTACAAGCCTCGCCCAGCTCCCTACAATTCCATGATTCAGTACTTCCTGAACACCAAGCGCGACCGCAGCAAGGTTCTGGCGTATTATGAGCGCATGCTCAGCCGTAATATCCAGCCCACCATGCACACTTACAAGCTGCTCATCGACGCACACGCCTCTCTAGAGCCGGTAGATATGAAGGCTGCGGAGAAAGTACTCGAGACCATCAAAGCCGCCGGACAGCAGCCCGAGGCCGTGCACTATGCATCCCTCATCCATGCCCATGGCTGTGTGATGCATGACATGAAGGCTGCTCAGGAGGTTTTCAACTCAGTCGTCTCAAACAGCAAAGTGCGGCTCCAACCATGCCTGTACCAGGCCCTCCTCGAGGCCATGGTGGCCAACCACCAGGTTGCACAAACTGAGGACATTGTGAAGGATATGGCCCAGCGTAGGGTTGATATGACTGCCTACATTGCCAACACTCTTATTCAAGGGTGGGCCACTGAGGGCAACGTGAGCAAAGCCAAGGCCATCTATGATACCATTGGTGTGGACAAGCGTGAGCCTAGCACTTACGAGGCCATGACTCGTGCCTTCCTCATGGCCAACGAGCGAGAGAACGCCTCTCGTATTGTGCAAGAGATGCTGTCTCGTGGATACCCGACCGCTGTCGCCAGCAAGATTGTGGATCTTGTCGGTGGCGGTGCCGCGGTCGCCGCTGCCCTGTAGGCGCTCGCGTCATCCACTGATGAACCGTTGCCTTCCACCTTCTCGATTCAAGCGGGACTAAATTTGCCGTTTTATATCGAAAAGGGATAAAAGAGTATTCGTTTTTAATATGTTCTCAGGGCTGGATCCCTGTCTTTGGCTGTTTCCAGCCCATTTGATCTCTGCATTGGCATTTGGGAGGCAATACCATGCCCATTTGGTGTACATTTTGCACTACATTCTGTTTATGGTTTGCATTCAGCGAGCGGATATGGCGTTCATGTAAAAAAGGGGTTATGTTTGGTTTCAGGGTTATTTACCATTTCTTATATGTTCCATAGACACTCCCAACTCTCCAGTCAGGGGAATCCTGGCTGCAATTCTTTTTGAATCTTAAGACTTCTGTGCTGTACACAGGACAGTTTTGGATAATCAATATTAGACCTATGAACCGAGTATTGTGTTTGCTTTCAACTTAAGTAGAAAACCTGTTCTGGGACGGCGACGGACTTGGTTATCGGCGTTTATCGGCCAACCCCGCGGAACAGATTAAGTCATTCAACCATGCAACGGTCACACTTCAACCCTCCTCCTTTTTGACTCCTCGTTCACTCAATTCCAATTACTTCTTCGCCGGTAGAGGACAGCCTATGCGTCCTCTTTGGCTGTCGTCTTCGACTAACTTCTCTCTCCGGCGCATACAGTTCGCTCAGTGCCACCACCCAACCCCGCGACACCTATCCGCCATGAATTCAGACCACCTCGCCAGCCCTGGAGATGACCATGGGAAACACCCCAGAAAGCTAATCTGTAGGTTCTACTCGTCCAAATTTGACCGGCGTAACCACAGTTCTACAAACATAGCTACTGACACATCCCCACATTTGCCAGTTGCACCGGGTGACATCCAAGTATCAACCCCTAATGACCAAGCAACGCCTCCCCACAAGCCGGAAACCGCTACACCTGCCAATGTCGCCCGACTTGTCGCGGAGGCCCTTCGATCGGAGACCTCCACGCCCAACTCCGTTACCGAGAAACAGATCGTCTCCCACCCCGCTCGCGCGCATCAGTTCGTGACCAACCCACCGCTCACTGTCTCCCAGATGCACCCCACCAATCCGCTCCATCAATTCAATACCTGGTTCCGCGACCCGCGATTGTCTGCATCGTCAGCCCCGGAGACATGTACGTTGGCTACGGCGTCTTTGCCCTCTGGCCGGGTGAGCGCGCGCGTTGTATATCTGAAGGAGCTGGACGAGCGAGGCTGGGTAGTCTACAGCAACTGGGGCAGTCGGCAAGGGAAGGGCGCACAGGTCTTTGGTACTCAAGCAGATGGAGACAGCGTTCTGGGTGCTATGCCCGAGCCCGGCGCAGAGGACGATGGAATGCCACAAGGCAACAAATGGGCAGCCCTCACATTCAGCTGGGGAACTGTTGAACGGCAGGTGCGTGTCGAAGGTCTCATTGAACCCCTTAGCCGCGAAGAGAGTGAACTGTACTGGCGGACCCGCGAACGGGGTAGCCAGATCGGCGGCTGGGCCAGCTGGCAGAGCAAGGTGCTCTGGTCCGCAGAGCCAGACAGTCTGATCGAGCGGCGGCGGAAGAGCCTCGCGCAGGATGTGTGTCCCCAGGCTATTCCGGGTGACGTGGATGAAACGGATATCGATGACGGCCGGGCGCTGCTAGAGAAGCGAGTACGGGAAATGGAGGAGAGGTTTGCCAATACGGAGGAGATCCCATTACCTCCGTTTTGGGGCGGCGTGCGTCTGGTACCGGAGTCGGTAGAGTTCTGGCAGGGACGGCGCAGTCGACTGCATGATCGCTTCCGGTATGTGAGGGTGCATGACTCGCAGAGTGACTCGTATAAATGGCGGGTTGAACGACTATCGCCTTAAAATATAGTATAGACTAGATGGGTTACTATACATAACTAGCGAATAGCGATTTTGGTATTCGGTCGACGAGACCTACTCTGTTTACTGTTTGTTGCTAACAATTGAAGTTCCTGCAGTATATTGGGCCGTCGAAATGACCAGGGACCATAGTCATCGACGGGGTCTAATAAAGAATGTTTTGAAAGTACCTAGGCTATGGCCACCTATTGTGGTTGACAGACCCCGAGACATTAAGAGTATAACGTGTCTATGCTGCGATTGCTTGTCATACTGTGTACGGAGTACGCAAGACCATTATTCGGATCTAAATGAGAGGCTTCATAGGGACCAAAGCCCCCTAAAGCCCATAATTTTCCAATGACTAATAGGAAGTGAAGCGCTATCAAATATCTATTCTAATACATCAGTAGCAATTCAAAAAAAGTAAACCCAAAACCGTATACACATACAAACCAACCCTATATCCCAAGTACCCCAAATACTTGGCGAAACCCGCCAAGAAACAGCTACACTCACTCGCCATATCAACCATCCGTCAACGGAGTACAAACATTTCCCTTAACCTAATCAAACGCCACCAACTAAACCCCCCGGTATATAACAGGGCCAGATAAAGAAAATAAAGAAAATGTCTACACACTCCCGCTGGGTAATCCTAGCCCTAGCAAGCGGCGCATTCGCCGCCCTTAACGGCCTCTTCGCGAAACTGTACGTTTTCCCATTACCACATAACTTAAACCCCCCCCCCCCCCCCCCCCCAACAATAACCAGTAAGAAAGATAAGAGAATCTAACAAAAACCCCAGGACAACCGATACGCAAACAACCACCTTCTCGAAATCTCTCCTCGCCTTCCTGAGTCTAACAGGCGATCACCCGATCCTGGAGATGTTGGTTAGGGGTGTATGATTCTCTCCCGTCCCCTTCCGTCCCTTTATCTAAGTATTGGCCCCCTTGGGTTTCCGGGGTGGCGTTCATTGTTTGACTGCTGCGTGTGTGTACTAAGTGTGGGAACAGGCTTGTCTGGGTCTAAATGTCCTCTGTAATGTGATTATGTGGGCTCTTTTTACGAGGGCCTTGACGGCTGCGCCGTCGACGGTGAAGGCGTCGATTACGAATACGGCAGCGAACTTCCTTGTTACGGCTATGCTGGGCATGTTGGTTTTCAGGGAGCAAGTGGGTGGGCTTTGGTGGGTTGGGGCTGGGATGATGGGAGGTGGGTGTGTTTTGGTTGGGATGAGGGATAATTAGATTTTCGGTTTCTTGCTTTCTTGTTTTTTTGTTTTTTTGTGCTAGTTGGGTTGGGAGAAGGGTTATTGTAGAGTATGTGTATATTGTTAAAATAGATTGGTTGAATGGCTTTATGTGACTGTTTGGATGTATGATGGAGTTCTAAGTATGTCAAGGACATATATGTATGGTTATTCTGGGACTCATAAGGATTCGAATCATACAGGTTCTATATCTATATATACATATGAACATGGACAGCGATATCACTATGGCCGTTCTTCTAGTTCCATCAATCTATCGTTTTCGTCATCAGTGCCGCTGGAGATGCCCCTTCCTTCCTGGTGGTCGGACAAAGCGACGCGACTTGCTGGCCGCCAACGGGGCAATTTGGAGCCGACTCGTTGTATCAAGTTCCACACCCGCTCCTCCAGCGTGTCGCCAGATCGGGCACTTGTCTGGTCTCCCAGTGGGCCTTCTGAAGCCTGGGTCGCAGCAAGTGCGTGTTCCTGGGCTTCGACTTTGAACTGGTACTTCAGACAATCTTTGACAGTGACGAGGCCGGTTAAGCGACCGCGGTGCTCCACGAGGATGACGCGCGGTCCAATCTTCTTGAAGATTTCGATCACGGTCTCCAGGGGCAGGCGCGGATGCACTGTTAGCGGTGTGTGGTCCGCGTATCTGCTGAAGTCTATGAAGCTGGAACCGACGCTCTGTTGGATGGCATCAAATGTATCAGGAGCTAAGTGATGTGGTGATGAAGAAGATGCTCTGCGTGCTACTGAAGCTTCAGCAGCTTCTTTGGTGAACACACATCGGGCATTGGGGGCGAGTATGCCTTCCGCTCTAGCACGGTCAATGGCGTACCGTAGTTCCGTGCGGCCAATGTATCCGACAAGTGTCTTATTCGTTCGGTTGTCGACGATAGGGAAGCCTTGGAATTTATTATCGCTCAGAAGATGCTCTGCTTCACGCACAGGAAAATCGGATGCAGGAAGCGTGACAGGATCGGCCGTCATCGCGTGCGACACAGGGACGTTGAAGACATGGTCTTCCTTGTTATCGAGGAAAGGAAAGCCATTGGACCAGATCATTCGGTCCGCGATACCACCATTTCCAAAGCGGCTACTAACGGCTTTTGTGACTCCAACCACGATCTACAAGACAGGCATGTTAGTTGCATATAAGAAGGAAGATGTTCCATAGGGATGAGCGTACCATGGTGGGAAGAATATAAGTCAATGCTCCGGTCAATTCAAACATGATGACCGTGACTGAGATGGTCAAATGCATGATACCACTCAGGGCTGCCCCTGCGCCCAAGAAGGCATAGGTTCCTGGAGTAATACATGGCACATCCGGTTCACAGGCCGCGAAGAACGCCGATTCAGGGAACCGTTCGTGCAACGCCTGGACAAGGACCCCAACCAAACGGCCAAACGATGCTCCGATCGCCATGGATGGTACAAAAATTCCCGCAGGTACTTTGCAACCATAGGATATGATGACCAGAAATATGCGGAGAATTGTCGCGATAGCGAGCGACCCGACCAAAGGCCACCGGTTTTTGGACCTAACCTGGTAAGCAATGCCTGTGGGTCTCCTTGGAATTACTTACTCGCAAAGGCCATGGTAGTCATGACCGCCTTCACATTCCCGGAACAGGATCTCCATCATCTCTGTCATGTTAATCTTCAAGAACATGTTGGGATAGCATAGTACCGCCGTCAGCGCAGCAAGGATAACCGATTCCATAACAGCATGTTGCGAGAGATATTTCTTGCGGAATGCTTGGACTCTAAGGTTCCACTTGATCACAAAGGCCCCGTACAATCCGCCAAACACACCAAGGAAAACGAAGAATATCAACTCGAAAAAATGCCAAGTACGGTCATATTGCACCTGGAACATAACCAGCTGTCCAGTCCTGAAGGGGTTCATCGCCTGGGACATGTTAGCACTTGGCAGTTGATTACATGGTGGGTACTAACCGCCAACACGCCAATCGCTACCAAGGCGCAAAAGTAGCTGCGCCATAGTGTTTTAAGTGGGAAATATGATGCCATTTCCTATAGACAATCAGTATCCGGTCTGAGCAATAAACCCATATGTTCGTACCTCGAGGGAAAAAAGCACTCCTCCAATGGGACTGCCGAATGCGACAGCCACGCCAGCCGCGGCTGTGGCTGTCAAGACCTCTCTAGTCTTTGAAGCACTCTGTTTATATTTGCTGAAAAGCCGCGAGATGACATTCCCCGCACAAACGGCAAAGTGGACACTAGGACCCTCTTTACCCACAGAGAGGCCGGAGGCGATGGCCAACGGCAACGCAGTGGACTTTATCAAAAGAGTCCATGCACCCAAGAAACCTTTCATAACAAAACCAGCTATAATGCATTTTATTTCGGAGATACCGGAACCAGCGGCATAGGGGGCGAACGATTTGACTAGACTCGCAGCAATCAAGGCAAATAGCATCTGTCTGGGACTTAGCAACAACCTCTGCAAATCCCGGACCATGGATAGCGTACCGCATAGCAGATATAAATGACATAATTCAAGAGCCACCAAGAAGTCCACGTCTTCCATTCGGGACAACCTAAGAACTTGTGAGCCCCAACACATTAGCCAGTAAGGCAGCAGTCGCGACATACCTCCCTCCGCGCCCCAGCAACAGAATGATTCATTGAGGTAGAATGCTGTCGTACAATGGCCTAGCTTGATATCCGACAACCACTCGGTGATAATGTTTAAGAAGGCCGAGATAAACCCAATCACGGCGCCAACAATCGTGATAACTAGCCAAGCTTGCCCAGCATCGTAGGACTCGCGCACTTTGCGTCTCCACCCAAAAGCGCCTTCTTGATCCCAGAAACCAAACCCATTTCGCCGCTTTGCTCTCCGTCGCGCTTGTTCGTGCACCGCATCCTGAACCCAGTCGATAGTTGTGAAATCTTCATATCGTTTGATCTCGCTGATTTCTTCTGTGATTGCGGAGGAGTGACCATTGGCTGGTTGCCGGGCGCTCGAGGACGTGGATAAGCCTGATAGCCTCCTCCAATTCCGACGCTCAGATAGTACTGAGGGTGAACGCGGGGAGGTTGATGAGTCAGGCATTGAGCTCATACCATGGACTGGATGTGCGATGGGAGCATAGTCAAAGGCAACCGAGAAGAGTAAGTGGTAGAGCTGTTCCTCTCGGAGTATGACGACTGATTGATTGATAGTAGCTTCATTATCGAGGGAGAGCCGCGTGGCCACGTGAGAGAGCAAGCTAAATGATTTCCCGCCTTTCGGCAGTTCAGAACAAAGGAACAATATTCTGATAATTCCTATGCAATTATTTTAATTTGAAGCAATGAAAAGTGTTGTAAACTATCTATAAAGGAGATTGATTGGGAGAATTCAGAGAAAGCAAAAATATAACAACAGCTCGCCAGTTGTAGTCGATCTGCGGTGTTAGGTCAAACTAGATAACTAAATGCGTATTTTATCGGCACTGACGCCACGCGCTATATGGATTTCCACGCCGCACGCGCCAGGCTCAGTTGCTTAACACGTCCTACCCACTTCAAATAATTGTCAGGTTTCTAGATCAACACAGGAACGGCTGAGACTCACACCTTGCAGCACCGACTTCGTTTCCTTTCGCATTATCCAAGAAAACTTTCCCTTTCCCTATCCTAGATTTACACTCGACGCGACCCACGATGCCTCCCAAGGAGAAGCCCACTCCGGACTCTGCGCACTCCCATGAGATCACCGGCCAGAGCGCTCTTCCTAGTACGCGGAATGCACCCATCATAATGGATATCGCCGGTTGACTGGTTCTGCAGTTTCGCGGATAAAGAAAATCATCCAATTAGACGAGGATATAGTACAATGCTCAAGCAACGCTACGTTTGTGATCGCGATGGCTACAGTGCGTGATGCTCTTGTCGCAGCCTTTTACTCCATCCCCGTCACTGACTGGCCTAGGAAATGTTCATCCAATATCTCACAGAACAAGGGCATAATGTCGTCAAATCCGAACGAAAACCACGAAAGCTCATCCAATACAAAGATCTAGGTCAGTCGCAAACGGCGTTTTCCAGCATCATACGGTGTACTGATGTATAACTCTCATAGCTACGGCGGTTTCGCGAATCGATAATCTAGAATTCCTCTCCGACGTTATCCCCAAGACGACCACCTATAAACAGTTCAAGGAAAAGAAGGCGAAGGAAGCCATCAGAGAAGCCGAGATCGAGAAAGGACAGCGCACACTGAATGGAACTGTACCACATGCCAATGGGGAATCAGAGCATCAGGAAGAACTACAAGCTATAGAAGAAAAGCCATTAAAGAGCCCTCGGACGCCGGTGGTCATGCATGCGACTGGCGCAGTGAGCACGCTGGTGGTCGATCGGACTGTTGACAACCAGAGCAAGGGAGAGGACGGGGATGTGGAAATGGTTGACCAGTAAATTGATCCTCTATAACGTTCCAATATCAACCGAGGGAGTTGCATGTATGGGGAGTTCTGGGTTTGGGTGCTTCTTTTGTTGGCAAAAAGACCGTGTTATGGTCCGGTCACTTTTGCATTTGGGTTAATTGGGAATGGACGGAACGGGAAATCACGGGCAGAATGGTCTCCGTCAGCTTGAAAACAAGTTGTTGTTGGGGTTACCTTTATATATCAAAAATAGAGTAATGGGAAAAGCTATAAATGAATTAAATTTGAGTGCAAATAAAGTAATCCAATTGTCCAGGGTATGATATCAATTTCGAATTGGCTTCGCCATTACCGAGTACCAATTGTAATTGTATTGATCGATATTGTAGAAAATAAGGTGAGTGTCCGGAGTGTGACCCAATCAGCCAATGAGGCGCCCCGTGATTCCGAAGCGAAAGCTCTGGTTCGACTTTCCGTATGCCGCGCCTCCGACTTCAACCTCCAACATCTGGAAAATCCTCCCTCGTCCACCTTGACTCCCCCCTCCACCCCCCTCAAACGGTCGTCCGTCTTTGCAATTGACTGCAATTGCTTTGCCCGCCATGTCTCTCTCCTCCGCTTCCAGCACTCTGTTGCGCGCTTGCGCCCGCCAACAGCTGCCCACTTCTCGCGCTGCCATCGCCTCCTGCCAGCAGCGGAGGGGAGTCGCTGATGCGTCCAAGTCGTCCTTCGAGAGCCCCTTCACCAGCGCCAAGGAATCCTCGACCTACAAGATCCCTGACTTCAGCAAATATGCCTCCAAGAAGCCCCCACGCTCCAACCAGGTCTTCTCTTACTTCATGGCCGGTTCCCTCGGTCTTGCCTCTGCTGTTGGTGCCAAGGCTACTGTTCAGGGTAGGTCTTCCCTGGGCTATCGATTGAAATGGAAGAGTGCAAGATATCAGGATAGCGAATTGAGATAGCCGGGTTATGGGGATAATTGGCGGATTGGATCGGCTTATCATTTGGAGCATGTGGCTGATGACAACTTCACCAACAGACTTCCTGGTCAACATGTCCGCCTCTGCCGATGTCCTCGCTCAGGCTAAGGTTGAAATCGGCCTTGCTACCATCCCTGAGGGCAAGAACGTATGTTTCGATTATCCCTACGAAGCCGTTTGTTGTGATGCATGATTGGCTGACCTGATATCAAACAGGTCATCATCAAGTGGCGTGGAAAGCCCGTCTTCATCCGTCACCGTACCCAGGATGAGATCAACGAGGCCAACTCCATTGAGTGGCAAACTCTCCGTGATCCCCAGGCTGATGAGGACCGTGTTCAGAAGCCCGAGTGGCTTGTCATGCTTGGTATGTCATATGAGCTAGCCCGATTTCATATATGCCTTTGCGATATCTAATACCCTTCCCCACTTCAGGTGTCTGCACCCACCTTGGTTGTGTCCCTATCGGTGAATCCGGTGACTATGGCGGCTGGTTCTGCCCCTGCCACGGTTCTCACTACGACATCTCCGGCCGTATCAGGAAGGGTCCTGCCCCTCTGAACCTCGAGGTTCCTCAGTACAGCTTCCCCGATGAGGAAACCCTCGTCATTGGTTAAACGAATCAAACGATGCCAATTCGAGCGAACGGTTCATCCGACGGACGGGAAATGACGTTGAAGGGGATGAGAGAGTGAAGGTTTGTAACTGCACTTTAGATGAAACTCTTTGTCTTGTCAAGATTAAGGAGACCTTGTTTTAATATGGATCGATTAGAAAAACTGAGCCTTGTGTTTCTATTACTTTCAACTACCCTGTCCGCTTTTCGCTCCTAGAGCCTGTACCACTCGTTGTCTACGGGGGTTGCACCCCTTCGTTCCCGGGTATAGAACTTTCTGTTATTGGCCGTTTTCCGGTCTCTCTGCCCTTCTTGTTCTTTTAATATCTTAAAGGGATTGAGCGGAGTAATGGTGAAGACGGGAGACGGTCGACATATAGATGTATACCTTTTGTATGTCGGTTACTTGTATCTACATAGTCTTTTCCTTGGTATATTCACATGCGATTCCTTTTGTCCGTTCATACCATCGTGCATGACCTTAGGCATACTAGGCGTGATTTATCAGCAATCAGGAAGCAACACGGGTATTGGAGAAGGAGAAACAGTATATAACGGCAAGATGCAAGCCCAAATGTAACGAAATCCAGACTTGGACTGAAATCGCCAAGATACAACGGCCGTATCCAAAATAGGGCAAAACAGCATAATAATGCTGCTGCTAGGTACAGGCCGAATCGAAAACTAGCGGTGAACAGCCGCCAGCTCATCGATATCTTATGCATATTAATTTTTTGAAAGAGCGGCCCAATGGTCAGGTTGCGAACTCCAAAATAGGGTAATGATAACAGGTAATCATTCATTCAAGACTATGTTACACAAATGCTCTATGTGAATATCTATGCCACATTTATACACAGCATTTTCAAACAAATTAATGGCACGCTAATTACAATGGCTCATCTAGCCTGACATGCCTGCACGCGGTCATTTCACCGCGGCCGGATAAGAGCAATCACTAGACCCATGATAGCTGCGCCAGCAGCCGCACTCTGGAGAGCGAGGGACGACAGGTCCCGTTGGGTGATGACTAGGTTGCGATCACTGAAAAGATCTCTGATATACTGACGCCAGGATTCAACGGAGGTAGGAGGGGGGAAACGCGATACTTGAGATTTGGCGGATTCGAGAAGGTCGTTCAGGGTGTTCTGGTTGTCGGGTGTTGTTGTCGTGTCGGGTACGGGAGTCGCTGACTCTGGGACGTCTGGTACTTCGGCCGAGACTGCGTTGGAGGCTATTTCTTCAGCAGCTTGAGATGGTGCAGCTGCGACGATAGGAGCGGATGAGTCTGTGGCAAGGGGTGCGGCGGGAGTCTGCTGAGTGGCATTGACAGGAGCCAGGATCTCAACGTGGTTCATGGCCTTTTCCTTCTCAATGGCTTCAATAACCTTCTCCTCAAATCCCTTGACTAGCCTCTTCCGGCGCCATGGTTCCACGGCGATCTGGAAGATCAGGAAGAGAAGAACGTTCACACCCATGAGACCCCAGGTACCCCAGGTACTCATGCGGCGGATCTTGTCAGACCAGACTTGTTCCTCATGGTACCGGGACAATATGCTTTTATTCAATTGCGCGGCAGCTTCCTCGGACTCGCGTTCTGCTACTGATAGAGCTTCCTGAGCGTCGTTTTCGGCTACTTCGTTGGTGTGGTCGTTACGGTAGAGGTGGGTGAACCGTTCCAGGTCTGATGCTGACCAGGCATGTTTCCGCTGGAGAAGTTCGTTGACTTCACGCTGTGAAGTTGATCGATTGTTGATGGCAGCTGCATATGCATCTTTGGCTTCACGGACTCGCAGGCGGGCAGCTCGGAGTCGCTCCTCTGTTGAAGGGATTGGCGGTCAGCAAAGACAGTCAACTTCCCCAGGCTGAAGAGCATGAGTAGATTTGTTTCATACCTTGACTGTGTATATCTTTCTTAAGTGCTTCAATGGATGAATAACCAGTCAGATCATTCAATCGCTGGCCTGCCACGAAAATGTTGGATTGAAGGTTATCCATCATGGTAGTAAATTGCTTGGAAACCTGGGACCTGCGGTTCTCCAAATACGATGGCAGGCCACTGCTCTCAGTTCCTTGGAATTTCGCGTCATCCCTAACCTCCTGTTGCTGAACCTCTTCAGTCTCATTCCCCTCCTTGGCAGACGGGGGAGGCTCCAAGCTCCCCGCTCCGAGATAAATTGTTGAGCTCCGCTCGGACGAACCTGTAGCAGGCTGGTCCTTGTCCGCCGGCTGCTCAACAGTCTTTCCATCTTTCAACTTTTCAGTCTCATTTGATGAGTACAGAGCAAACTGCGACCGAAATTGGCATTGTACGCAAATCGAAAACTGCCGCCGTGAGCCAGCTGGTAGAGGCTTCGGGCCAACGGCGGAATGAAGAGGTGATCGGACCGGACGAGAGGTTCTTGTGAAGGTGACGGTTGATCGGAGGGACTGCCTGAGCAGCAATGGCATGGACTGCATGGCCGGTTTAAAGGGCCACGAGAACCTGACCAGACGCTGGTTCTTCTGTTGAATTGCAGTGTCGGGTGAGTTGTAAGGCTGCTGGTTGGGGAGTGGGTGCCGAAGGAAAGGCGGGAAAGTCGGCGGCATCGAATGGCCCGCGGTTTTCTTCGGGTTTCTGATAAGAGAGTCACGATAAGTGATTTTGTGCAGTACCATCATGCAATTTATCTGGGCAGATAGAGATGACTACAGAACTATACACAGTATTCACATGTAAAGGCTCGTAGAGGTTCTTTTGGGGAATCTACTTCAGGTCATCTGTATATTTTAGTGTAGTTAATACTCGGTTCAAGATAAAGTGTACATTTGAAGCTTGAGTGGCATTAAGGATTTCTGTAGTTCTTCGAAATTCCGATAGTATTCTTTCCCCGTGCCGCTAACATTAAAGACGTAAAAAATTCCATACAGATGATAGTCTCATAACCCATAACTTTAGAGAGGTACAAATAATTACAAAAGGTCAAATAGCAACTGAAGCAGCCCTTGCACACAGTAGCGGTCCAGATAAGTGACGGGTAGACATTGATAGGAAGGACTTTCACGCATGACTGAATCAGTCCTGAACCTTATGGTCACCCTTCACGGCTTCGGCATACGTGGGTGGTGGCCGCGAATCACCGTGTGTTTGATCGCTGCTGCTGCCGGTCGCGGGATCATTCTGGGGCTTAGGAGCAGACTGTGATTGTTCTTGCGGCGGATGTGTCGCTGTAGTTGGTGCCACAGTACCGTAGCCTCTCTGGGACGGGTGCTGGATCTGTTGATGGGAAACGTAGTAGTATGTCACATGGCCATTTTCGACGTCCCTTCGATGAGCACCCCCAGGAACCGGTTCGTAAAATGGATCATCGGGATCCTGCTCTGGATATTTGAGAATGATATACCAAGCATGTAGTAGGCCCGGCACATAGCCGAGACAACAAAGAGCAAGGTTGATGATCGAGTCTGCTGTACAGATGCCTACTTTAATCCATACTGCGCGACGTTAGCAGGGGACGTCAACAGCAAGTATTTGGTAGTGATGGTGACTAAGTCAGAGGGGCATTAACTAGTACATACCTGAAACCGGTGGGAAGAATATCGCGAGGATCGCCAGGAAGATGTCCGAGCCGCACATAATTGCTTGGGTATATTTGTGGTGCTTGAATATACCTGCTCTCATGCAAAAAACTGATATAGGAACGCACGCAGTGTATTCTATGACTGGTATACCAGACCAAGTAGACGTTGATAATGGCTTGTAGAGGTTGTGATGACGACAGCGGAAATCCAATGGGTTGATGCCTACTCCGTACCTTCTGTGGCTGTTCGGGTCAGATGACGTCGTTATGGTCACCTGACCTCTATCAGGGACTGTTGATTTGAATCAAATCGCGGGGGCTGAAGACGCTTGATACTGGAGGTAGTGTTGAAGATTTGGCATTCTGCTCTTTAATTGTAATTCAAAACTAGTGTTCTACGCTGGTTATTGGGTGAAGGGCTTTCGTGGATGGTTGTTTGCCTTCCGGTACAGACAATTGTGAAGTTCTCAGGTATATATATCTACTACAGCCTACTAGGTACTGTACTTTCTTAATTCTCCCCGACCACAGAATCGACTTATTTCCAGGATTTAGACATCGCCTGTACCCTTCACAATACTCACAGGTGGACAAACGCCTTGAAAATACATTTAGGGTTATGATATCCTTATTGCACCATATATACTTTATGATCAGTGTAAACTTTCTTCGTCGCATTGACTTCAATAAGATGGGCCGCACTCGCTCAATCAGTCTGAAGGAGTCTTCTAGTAGTTAGGTAACCATCTATAGCCGTGCACACAATGTATGATAGAATGTGAACCCTGAAATATTAGATGGATGCTGTTCTAAGCTTACACTTACAGTAGATGTTACTAAGCAAGGACATAGGTGACTAACTAACTACATAAGTATGTATTAAAGCGATTACTGGCGGTAAGAAATCATACCCGAAAAAAAAAAGAACAGAAACAAAAATCCGCGCGACGTCAGTGCTGGACGGTTTGCTTGACTCGGCTTGAGTCTTGGTTGAATTAAAAAGGCTCCACTTAGATAGTTTGGTGGCTGTGGAGTTACTGGAGTATCCCGGAGCATTTGTGCAGTTCATCTCCGTCCGAGGGATCGTACCTAAATTTTGATATTCAAGGGCTGTGCTCCTCACATCCGACAGACTCGCCCTTGCATGTCCCAAATGAATTTTCCGAGGTAAGGAATGTCTCTGTGACACCTGTACTGTATTGCTCCTGGACCAATATATTGACCGACAAATCAAAATTGTAGATTTTTTTTCTCGCAACAGTATCACTGTATACTACATAAAAAGATATGTAAATACTAAGTCCCAGACTAAAAGAGGTGTCTGACCATGCAGAAACATGATGTTGGCTCTCGTATGCCAAGTCACTCGCGAGGCAAAGAGTACAGAGGTGATTCGTACCCGCAGTGTTAATCGTGTATGCACAGTAGTCTCTGAATGGTCGATGTCTGAAAGACTGGCATTATGATACAAGAGTTGTTAGTCCCTTCCTTTTCTCTGTGGCAAAAAGAAAAGAAGAAAAGAAGAAAAGAGAAAAAGAAAATGAAACGGGCAAAGATTTATCTTTAGAAAAAGTTATTTTTCATTTTTTTTTATAACAATCGGCGACTCTGCTACATAGTCATTCTTGGTTCCAAGGGTCTCACCAGTCTGTAGTTTGGATTCCCGTGCAGGGCTCCACTTGTTGAATCCGCTCGAAAGAGGAAATCTCATCACAAGACGACTTAGAACCCTAAGCCAGAAATATGAGGCAGGTAGTAGTTCACCGCATTGCATCTATACTGTGTTGGTCTCTTGAACCACTATCATCTTATAGGCGCCCAGTGATCTGGCAGCCGTGATGCTGTGGTGAGAACCAACCGGGGAAAAGAAAAAATTATTCGAATGGCTGGTCATGCAATGCCCGCGCCCATAGATGAGACTGTCTCCCAACGGCCTCGAACGTGTGCCACGTCAGACGGTTAGATATGACTCTTATCCTGATTCTTGACCTGTACAGCTATATGTAGCTCCGTATACCTGTCTTCCAAGTGAATAGACTTTGCTGTTCCTGCAGTCGCTTCCCATGGTTCTGTTGGGTTTCCCATTTGACAGGTCAACTTTTCTACTCGACAGGACGTCTTACGCTTCTTAAGGATCGGGGTGACCCTCCTAAGAATATCTTCAATTAAGCATTGAGTTCATTAGTACTATCGATCTATACTGTCGCTTTGTCTTTGCTGGAATCTTCCTGAATACAATTCCGACCGCGTGAAAGTGGATCTGGTGGTGAGTTTAGTCGAGTTTAATTTTGGCGCGGCAGTAGCAGCGGCAGGCTCAGCAGCAAGCAATTGATCCTGCACCTTTACTCCGTACGGAAGCTGTCTTTCATGTTCTAGTCCACCATGCCGTATATGTACTAATTGCTGAACGAACGCAGTTTAGTGAAGGGTGGAGTCTAGTTTAATTGGAACGCCGCCGACCCTCTTTGAACCGCCCATTCTGTCGCTTCCCTCTCCCCCTTTTGCTTTAAGGGTTTAAACTTAGCCTTGCTTCTTGCCTGTGCCCTTGCGAGTCTGCGACAACGATCGACCGTCTGCGATCGTTAGCCATTATTACAATATATCCACCCCAACCCAAGTTGGAAGGCTTCCGAACCGTGCGGTCCCCGAAACCTGGTTCTGTGCCGCTCATTGTTGAGCGCCTAAGGCAAGGAAGAATAATAGCACGGTCCTGGACGTGGAAACCACGACCTTCGAGCGGGACCCTTCACTTTCTTCCATTCTAGGCTACTCTTTCTTTTCTTCATTTCTTCTTGGGCTCCTAGCTGTTCCTTGCGGGACTGAGTCACTCGTTCATTTCAATTCTTCAACTGCATCGACCTTCCTCTCGCCTTTTTTTTGCGTTTCTTTTCTTTCGGACTCGAACTCTTGCCCTCCTTTCCGCAGTTTGACGCGCTTGTTGTGATTTCCGACTAGTCGAAGGTTTTCAAGTTTTCTTGCGCCCCAACAGCTTGTGTTGTCTGGAATTGAGAATACAGAGTCACCAAATAGCAGCAATATGAGAGTGTCCGCCGACTAAATCATTAGTCCGACCCGAATATCCGATTTGCTATTGATCTGGGTACTATTCGTCCGTCTACACTGCGTCTTCGACATATTCTCTAGCAACCACCGAAATCACCGAAGTTTTGAACAGCATTCTCATAGTCACAGGCTGGCATGGCAACTTGCATATCTCTCAAGGGCTCGACGCAATGTCCCGCCTGGAATGGCTCATCAATATCAACCAGCTCTAGTCTCTACACTGACTTGTACGTCTCGCTGGAATCTCGATCCCGCAAAACCAGAGGAAACTCTACTGACGTTCCAATAGCCCATTTATGCAAAACGTTACAAGCGTAAAACAGTTTGACCAAGAGTTGAGTGATTACGTCAAAGGATCTTACGTTACCCAAAAGTAGGCATTCGCTACCCATACTTCTTACCTTGTACCTCACCTAATCTGTTTTGGCTACCAGATATGTTGACTACCTGGGCTGCCAGGGGGCTAATCTTACGGATACTGATGATTTCTATGCCCGCTATACCGCTAGCAGCATCTGCAGTGGGCTCATTCAAAGTTCCAAAAAAGATTGTGATTTAACTGATAACGAGTCCAGGCCTCTCTGCGCTGATACCTGTGTTAGTACCCTCCTTCCTGGCTAGTAAGGAATCCTCTAACCATCTAGGATAGGCATTGATGGCTACAAGCGAAGCAACCATCTTACTTAACCCTGATCTTTGCCCAAAAAGAGCTGGTAATTATATGAGCCAAGTCCGTTCTGACTTTACCGTGTGTGCTCTTCCCGCCGACTCATTAACCGTGACCTGCATCTCGGGAGCTGACAATGAGTCCGACGAATGTGGGTATGGATCGAATCTGGTCGGCTTGTGCGGATTTTGTGGGGCAAGCTCACCCAACTCCACTGATTCCTGCTGCATAAATTCGAACGCTGCGACTCGATGCAAAGATGTGACCATCCCCACGCCATCAACGACAATCCCGCCAATTTTCACTTCGACATCTGATCCGACGGCGGGAGCTTCATCTGGCCATCTCTCCGGAGGCCAGATCGCTGGGGCTGTGATTGGGGCCGTAGCTGGAGTTGCTTTGTTAGCAGCACTAGCTGCTCTAGCGTTGATATGCTTGAGGCGAAAGCGAAGGGCCCGAAATGACAATGTTTTAAACCAGCCGAACCCTCAGAGGAAGGGCTTTTCACCAATGCAACCCAGCCCCAACCAACAAGGCTTCACACCGATTCCAGGGGGGCGAGTAGCTAGGATGTCTGCCCTGCGTGAGGCCCCAAGTTATTCACCCGGGCGCTCTCGTAACTCCGCCGCCCTCTTCGGTGCTGGAAAATATAGCGAATCCTCTGATTCAGACTACTACGGCGCAAGCCCCGGGGCCATGTCTAAGAAAATCCCCCCAACTGCAGGGAAGCGTACTGCCTCACTGTCTAGCAATTCGGTCCTGGCTGGTGCGGGTAGTGACGGGTCACCTCTCTCTGGCAGAGGTGGTCAATACTCATCACCAGATGGGATGGGCAGTGGCCAGTCGGAGCAATTATCCTCATTCCATGATTATTACTCCCAAGATGACATTCGCCCAGGGGACAATGTTGCCGTCCTTTGGGCGTATCAGCCACGCGCGGGCGATGAATTTGCCCTGGACCGAGGCGAGATGTTGAAGGTGGTTGGAATCTGGGATGATGGTTGGGCAACAGGTATTCGGGTCCCGGAGAGTGCAGAGGACTATGATGCTAGACATAGAGAACAGCGCGACAGCGGCGTCTCGAATGGTTCACACAGACCGATTGCTTCTCCTTCTCCAACTGGGGAAATCAAAGCATTCCCCTTGGTTTGTGTGTGCCTCCCCCAGCATTGGAGAAAAATCATCGATGGAGGACAAACAGATGATGACCTATGAGCCCCGCGTGCGTGAGCCAAAAAAGCACGGGGATTTGAACTTCTGATACCGGTTTATGCTCTTACGATAGCGCCTTGTCATTTTCCATCCATATCATTCGCCGCGGCTGTTTTGTTGGATGTCGTGCCTACATGTCGGTTAGCACCAGAGCACCGTCCACGCTACCCTCAGATCATACTTTACAAGACCTTGATCTTTTCCCATTTCTTCTGCTCGGTTGCGGGCTAATGCATCGGGATGCTTCCGCTACGACTCGATATGTTTCTTGTCCATTCGTTCATATACCCCTTTACGACAATGTTATTTACTCTTCCGTTCTTAGACTTCTGTCTCATCCTTGATGCTCGATGTTTCTCTTTTATTCGACTGCCCTCTGCTACAGCGTGAGATGCAGCGTGCCACCCGCGATCGGTTCAACTTGTGTGAACAATCAACGTCGGCGTCAGAGCCGGTCATGGCCAGCACCGAGTAGGGCAGTGGGGTGCTTGTCATGATCGCGGTCGTACAGTACATATTATGGATGTATACTTTCATATATACTGGATTCTACAGCATGGCTAGAAATTAAACTCCCCACGGGTGCTTAGAGCTGGCTATCATCTTGACACCTCTGGGCTAGCACCAGGAATACCACGTACGCACTAACTAATTATGAGCGTATCATCGAATGCCACCTATGTAGGTATTGGTAGATTGCATATTTTTGAGAACATGGTCAATTGTGTGCGCATGGAATCTTGTATAATATTCGGCATAATTGAAGCATCCAATCATAATGAAGCAGTGAGGGCGATGGAAATTGTCCGTTAGTGGACTGAAGTCCCATTGTTGATCTATATGGGACTTAGTCACCCAGTTCCAGAAAATCATAATACAGTGTTGGAGACAAAATAAAAATAGTTATGCCGGTGCCTACGGAGCACTCCGTACAATCCGTTAAAATAAGTTCCCCACACTAGCAACGGCAATACGTGTCCAGGAATAGGAAGCTCCATCCAATACCTATGGATACTAGTAGGAGACGCAGGTGATGGATGAACCTGCAGCAGGCTGCAATGTTAAGTACAGTACTAGTTCGTATGCCTCACACTCCAACACTGCCGGAACACTCAGGGGAAATGACTTATGACGAAAACACGGCCTGGTGGTGCGACGGCTATATCACGTGATAAGCACCCCCACCGGCGGCGGCGCAACACCGCAAAGCACAACAACTAAATGCCCCTCTATCTCCATCCCCCATTATTGTTCCTCCCTCACCCCCTCACCCGAAATTCATCTCCGTTAGCTTCTTTCTCTCCCAAAAATCTGTGGGAATCTCTTAGAATTATCCTTTTCTTCTCTGGTTAGTAGATCAAAATGAACGGGCTTCCTGGGATGCAACAGGCATTGCTCCTTCCTTGACGGGGAGTTCCCGCTAAAATCAGGGGAAACTAGCTACTGACATCGCGTGCCAGCATAGGTTATCGATTTCGGGGTTTCTTCATTTCTATATCCACATAGCAATCATGTCGGTACGTATCCCACCAACTTCTTTATGGACTGGACTGGGCTCATACTGATGTGATATTCTCTTGGGTCCCGTAGCTCGCATCTGGGTATGTCGGCAATCGTATCCTACACCTGTCTTCAAGATCAGATTGATGCGGAAGTCCCGAATCGACACTAACAACGTCTATTACTTAGAGTTACCATTGCCGATGACTGCCTCACCAAGTTCAACGACTTCCGCATGACCGGCGGCAGCAAGGGCGAGAAGCCTAAGTTCATCATCTTCAAGATCGCCGATAACAAGAAGGAGGTTGTCGTTGATGAAGTTTCCTCCGAACAAGACTATGAAGTCTTCCGCAACAAGCTTGCAGCTGCTCAGGACAGCAAAGGCAATCCTGCCCCCCGTTACGCAGTCTACGATGTCGAGTACGAGCTCGGTAGCGAAGGCAAGAGGTATGGTGCTACTGAAGTCGTCTTCTGAGTTGATTGACAACCTACTAACTTTTCCGCTGTATAGGAGCAAGATAATCTTCATCTCCTGGGTTCCTAGTGACACCCCGACTCTCGTAAGCTTTTTTGCGCTCTATCTTCCTTTCCCATGCTAGCTGTTGCTGACGATTCATGCAATAGTGGTCTATGATCTACGCCAGCACTAGGGAGGTTCTGAAGAACGCCCTCAACATCCACACCTCCATCCACGCCGACGACAAAGGCGACATTGAGTGGAAGACTGTTCTGAATGAAGCCAGCGGCGGAAAGGCTGGTAAATAAATGACGGCGTCGGCTGGGCCCGGGCCAGGTGAGCTTGTGTGTGCTGGTTATTACACTGCACCGCTCCGTTTCCAGTCCGCGGAGTGTCTCGGAACGAAACAATTCAATGACATTCTCCTGCACAAATTCTAGTTCAATATGAGATCGTTACGACTTGTCTGTTTCCATAGTGATCGTATCCTCGTTTTTTGCGATCGTGGCACTCTCCGTGGCCGAGCGTTTGGGAAGGGTTTTCTTTGTTGTCAGCGTTTGTACCTGTACAGAATATTGCTACCTGGTAGGGGATGTGGTTTCACAGGATCAGTGTAGAGTAGAATACACGACTTCACCACCCTTTAAACATATCTCATAATGCCGGTCCTTGCGTAAGACTGACAGTCGTGCCATGATCCCGAAATCGCCCGTCAGGTGAGTAGTATTGATTGCTTCGCTGTAGAAGTACCGTTAGGAAAACAAAAATATGTGTCGGCATGAAAAATCGGCATATTGACCGTTGGTGCTTGCCAAGCTTCGTTGATCGATCAAAAAGCCGACCATAAGGTGAAGATACCCTTGAAACGGTTTTCGATGTTGGATAGGGATGGAAGTATCAGGTGTTTTGGGTGAAGGAAGCAGAGGTCGGGACAGATTGGGATGTGGACCAATGAGGGCGCACGCAAAACGGACTAACCTAACCGGCCGGATACTCGACTTTCCACCTCAAACCACAGTCGAACGACGTCTTCGTTTACCATCGCGAAGTCTCGATCTCCTCCTCCACTCCCATCCCACCTTAATTCATCCTCAATCCCGAGGCATTGCATCTCTCGTTCACGGAGAGTGTGTTTGATTTTTAATTGGTCTTTTTTAGTCGCGCGCACGATCTCCCACACAATGTTCCTTCAGTCCGTCTCTCGGGCTGCTGCTCGCAGCTCGGCCATGCCAACCACTGCCATTCGTTCCTACCGCACCGTCTCGGGCCCAATGGCTTGCCTGAATGCCCGCCCTCAGCCTGCGAAGAAGTCTGTCGCTCCCCAGCAGACCCGCGCCGCATCCGAGCACGCCATCTCGAATCCCACACTCGCCGGTATCGAGAAGCGCTGGGAGGCCATGCCCCCTCAGGAGCAGGCCGATCTGTGGATGCAGCTCAGGGACCGCATGAAGGTTGACTGGCACCAGATGACCCTTCAGGAGAAGAAGGCTGGTATGTTTTTCCTCTTGACACAATCCCCTCTACTCCCGTTCGATCAGAATTTTGCTGATGGGATTTACCCCCCGCATTTTAGCTTACTGGATTGCCTTTGGTCCTCATGGTCCTCGCGCGCAGGCCCCTAAGGGAGAGGGTCTCAGAATTGCCGTCAAGGTCGCCCAGCTCACTGCTGTCTCCGTTGCCCTGTTCTACGTCATTCACTTGTTCGCTAAGCCCCAGCCTAAGACCATGTCCAAGGAATGGCAGGAGGCTTCCAACGAGTATGCCAAGGTACGTTTGATCCTGCTCTCTCACTTGGGCCTGCCATTGGGCAGTATCTCTTGAAATTCAATAAATCAGATACTGACTACTTGTCACAACAGGCCGAGAAGATCAACCCTATCTACGGTATCAGCGCCGAGGGTTACGAGGGTAAGGGCTTCGTCCAGAGCCCTCCTCTTGAGAAGTCATAGATTGTGGGCCAGTGATGCGGGAGGAACAGGTATAGCAATTGGACAAGCTGGATAGGATGTGCTGTGGGTTCTCTCGGTACCCATCGCCGTCCTCCCTCCGTTTTCTGATCCCGCCGGTTCTGTGCCTATCATCATGTGCACTTCCCTTCGCCTCTGTCTTATTTGTTTTGCCCAATGTCAGCCCAAAAGACTTGTATCTCGTACTGTGCCATAATCAATGTATCTCCTTTGTAGCCATAGAGTCTTGTACTACTGCGACTGGTAGCTAACATCTAGGGCCTATGATTTGTAGATTAATACCTAGCGATGATCATTTCCCTAAATTTTACTATGGTCTTTTTTTTTTTTTTTTTTTTTTTTTTTTTTTTTTTTTTTTTTTTTTTTTTTTTTTTTTTTTTTTTTTTTTTTTGAAAGAGGTTTTGGTATCAGTCATGTCGACCCTGTTAGGTTGGAAATGTACAACGGGTTCGGAAAAGGGCTGCTACATAGTAACGTTTCCGAACATTAGATTCATGCGATATTACACCCCTTTGGCTATAGCCATTCTTGTGCTCAATTGCTTGGCATAGAACCTGGCAATGTTGAAATATACTTTATACTGTGAAGGTCTATATGCCAAAATTGACTATGTTAATACCTTGGGGATCCTGATGGAGAATCACGGGAACACGTCAGATTTTTTCCCAAGTTGGCGTTCGTCCGAAATAGGAGCTTGGATCTTTTACGGTGTACCCGGACGGGGGTAATAGGAAAACCAAAATATTACCTGGAAAGTTGGGTCTATGCCGTTACGACATGTTTATTTCTTCACCGTATTAATTTGAGCCGCATACACTCGATTTAGACCGGAATGCTTTCGACTAGTCACGATTCTACTGGATAATGTGCTGGACAAATGGCATTTTTGATGGGGTTCAATGCTCCCTTGTATCCGATGGTTGCCAAGAAGCTCCTCATTTTGTGTGTAAATTTCCATGACAACCGCCGGGAGACTTCTCCATACAGCGTTGGACGGGAAGGAGACGAGTAAAAAAAGTTATCGATCAGATGAAAACGTAGCAGTTATGTATTCGGTTGAAAAGGTGTAAAATGGCATAACACTGCCTAGCAACCATGAAGCTGATGCAGCTCTGTCCATGTTTTCTGCGCGTTGCTCGGTACATCACGGGATCGTCGGCAAAACCGCCCCGGAAAGGCTAAGACCGGACACAGTCGCCCGTGTCCACCTCAACCTCAACCTCTTCCCTTCCCTTCCCTCTTTCTTCCCTCTCCCCATCTTCTCGTCCCTTTGACCTCATTTATCCCCGTTTCGCTCTTAAACACCATCATAATGTTCAAGAGGTGTGTTGCTCCGCCTACTCTGACCTCGTCGCCCTATGACCATTTTTTTTCCGCTTGCTAACAGCTGTTTTTCCCTTTTACAGCGGTCTTGCCCGGACCTTCGGGAGGGCTGCTTTTGCCCGGCCTACCCCGGTCGCCCGTCGCGTTCCTTCCAAGATCAATGGCTTCCCTTCCCTTGCCAGGTTGGCCAGCACTGAGGCCGCCTCTACCGGCAAGATTCACCAGGTCATTGGTGCCGTCGTCGACGGTATGTTTCCGGCTCCCGACGAAAACCTTGCTACCCGGCTACGCGAAAATCTTTTCCTGGCCTCAATTCCATCATAAAATCATCAACAACGACTCGATGTGTGGCTCAAAACACGATATCTGACTTTCGATTACAGTGAAGTTCGAGGGTGAGAAGCTCCCTGCCATTCTCAACGCCATTGAGACCGAGAACAATGGCCAGAAGCTCGTCCTTGAGGTTTCTGTAGGTACCCCCAGAGCTTGAATGACATCAAGTCGATATAGCTAACCAAAATCAGCAACACTTGGGTGAGAACATCGTCCGTACTATTGCTATGGAGGGTAAGTGACCCCTTTCTATTGTTTATGTATCACCGTGGCCATATCAGAGGTGCTCGCCATGGCCTCACCGCTCCCATACACATGGCTACGGTAACCGGAATTCTGGGTTGACATATTACTCTTTCAGGTACCGAGGGTTTGACTCGTGGTGCCGCTGCTCGCGACACTGGTGCTCCCATCACCATTCCTGTCGGTCCTGGCACCTTGGGCCGTATCCTTAACGTCACTGGTGACCCCGTCGACGAGCGTGGTCCCGTTAAGGCCACCAAGTACGCCCCTATCCACGCCGAGGCCCCTGAGTTCGTTGAGCAGTCTACCGAGGGTGAGATTCTTGTCACTGGTATCAAGGTCGTCGATCTGCTTGCCCCCTACGCCCGTGGTGGTAAGATTGGTCTCTTCGGTGGTGCCGGTGTCGGTAAGACCGTCTTCATTCAGGAGTTGATTGTATGTTCACCTGCAGCCAAAGTCTTACCTTCCACTCTTTTCTAACTCTGCTCAGAACAACATTGCCAAGGCTCACGGTGGTTACTCCGTCTTCACTGGTGTCGGTGAGCGTACCCGTGAGGGTAACGATCTGTACCACGAAATGCAGGAGACTGGTGTCATTCAGCTCGAGGGTGAATCCAAGGTCGCCCTTGTGTTCGGTCAGATGAACGAGCCCCCAGGTGCCCGTGCCCGTGTCGCCCTTACCGGTCTGACCATCGCCGAGTACTTCCGTGACGAGGAGGGTCAGGATGTGCTGCTCTTCATTGACAACATTTTCCGTTTCACCCAGGCCGGTTCTGAGGTGTCTGCCCTTCTTGGTCGTATCCCCTCTGCTGTCGGTTACCAGCCCACTCTGGCCGTCGACATGGGTGGTATGCAGGAGCGTATTACCACCACCACCAAGGGTTCCATTACCTCCGTCCAGGCCGTCTACGTCCCTGCTGACGATTTGACTGACCCTGCCCCCGCCACCACCTTCGCTCACTTGGACGCCACCACTGTCTTGTCCCGTGGTATCTCCGAGTTGGGTATCTACCCTGCTGTCGACCCTCTTGACTCCAAGTCTCGTATGCTCGACCCCCGTATCGTCGGTCAAGACCACTACGACACTGCCACCCGTGTCCAGCAGATGCTCCAGGAGTACAAGTCCCTCCAGGATATCATTGCCATTCTTGGTATGGACGAACTTTCTGAGGCTGACAAGCTCACTGTCGAGCGTGCCCGTAAGCTTCAGCGTTTCCTGAGCCAGCCTTTCACCGTCGCCCAGGTCTTCACTGGTATCGAGGGTAAGCTGGTCGACCTCAAGGACACCATCCGCTCCTTCAAGGCCATCATCAACGGAGAGGCTGATGACCTTCCTGAGGGTAAGTCTCCCCTGACTAATGCTTGTATCTAAACTGTACGCTAACGGTGTCACAGCTGCTTTCTACATGGTTGGTGACCTCGAGTCCGCCCGTGCCAAGGGTGAGAAGCTCCTGGCCGAGCTCGAGAACAAGGCCTAAATGTAATATTGTTTTTAAAGCGCCCTTTTCTTTTTTGTTAGACATGGACTTCCTTTCTTCAGTTTTCCGTTTTCTGTCGATACGTGTACAGTACTCGAATTAAGAAAAGGGAGTTGAACGAAAGGCTTATCCTCCCTGTTCAGAAGAAAAAGGAAGGGAGCACTATTACACCTACGTTAAAGTCCGGATGAATAGTCCGGGCTTGTGTTACACTACGTGCTCATGTAAGTAAGTTAAAACGACCACATTCAGCCTGATACCCTCGGGGCTGGGACAATTGTATTCATTTCTTTTGTTGGATCCTCTCTCTTTGTCTTCTCTCCCTACGTAAGCGCTGTAGCTTGATAGTCTCGTAGTCACGTTGCTATGTTTGCAATTCTTCCTGTGGAATGCTTTGTATACATTTGTTATCGCCATTCATATCTGTATACTTGGGTTGGCAATCGTATAGATTCTCAGGTATACGCAGTGTCGTCAGTTCTACCAATACTATGCATCAGTCCCCCTTATCAGTATATATCCTTTGCTTGCTGTTGTTCTTGATCTTTCAGCAATGCCGCTACAGGTGGTCTAATAGAAATCTATTTTGATCTATCTATTTTCCAATCATGGCATTATATATAGTGCTATACGATGCCAGTCTTCAAGTATATTGTCGACACATAACACAAAGTACCCCTTGAATATACTCCTAGTTCATGCGTCTGTTTACTGAGTATAGATCAGATTTATCCTGCACTACTGAGTACTCAACCCCCCTTTGTGATATTTATACACATATCCTAGAATACCTAGACCGAACCCAAACAAAACTTAGCAAGACAAGATTCGAGATCCCAACGAACTCACTATCATCACTACTCCATTCTATATTCTAGGACATCTTTCTCTCAAATGATACCACTGAGACCTACCTGTAAATCTATAGGATAAGTACCGATTTCATGGAACCTGACTGTTGCATTTACTCTCTCCCATGATATGGTCAGGAGATACCGAATAGCGCCTCATCTTCTCCAAAGAGCTAGTGAAACGTACTCACGGCTGCTGTTGTGTTGCATTGTATTCGGACTTAATGAAGTATGGCACTTGAATAATGTCAAGATTGACTTCATTGGAGTTGGGACTTCACTCTTAGCAAGAGTTGTTCACCTTGGTAGCTCAGTGTTCGTCGTGGTGGAGCATCGATGGTTGTGCTGATTACTGTGTTTTGTAGGTTGTTTGTAGAGTGGTACGAGATGTTGCTACGTTTGGGGGGAGTGTTTGTACTCGTGTTTGGTTAGGAATGAATGACTTTTAGATTTTTAATGCTGAATGATGGCTTACGGCTATGTAGTTCGAGATGTTGGAGGGCGTAGTCTAGAGACTTTAGGTTGATAGTTGTGTATGTTGTTGTTGGTTGAATTTTGTGAATTAAAATTGGATTGTTGGACTTGCTACACATCGATGCTTGTTGCTTGGTGACTACCTAACAAGTAACTAGACTTAAGAGTTGATATTAAATGGGAAGGGGAGGGTGAAGCTTGCGGGATTGGAAGGTCTAGTATGTGTTCGGTGGTGATGATCCCAGGGTTTCATGGTTTGGTTGTCTCTAAATATTTTTCTAATTGGGCGAAGATTGATGCCTTGAAGAGGACTATATAATGACCAAAGTCTAAAAACTAGAAAAGTAAATTGTAGTCGAGGATTATGAAGCTGACAAATAAAATAAACAACAGTCGGTGGGAGTATAGCTTAGTGCTCAGGGTGTGTTTGTAGAATGATACGAGGTATCTACAGCGTTTCCTCTAAAGCCAAGACCTATTGCGAGCTATTAGCAGGGCTATTTCCTTGTGAATTTTGGTGTCATGTATAGGTTGGATCTTACTAGTGCGGTCCTCGTGGGGAGGTAGACTTGGAGGAAGTTGCTCCGGCCATT